CATGGTTTAAACCTGGCCTAACTTAGTCCATGGATTATTCACCATGGTTACGGTTTCTGCACATGCTCAGTACCGAAGCTGCGACGTCACAATGCACTAAGACAATGGATGCGCGCAGTGTGGAGAGGATGCATCACCTCGATAACTTGAGCAATATGACGTCACAATGCACTAAGACAATGGGCTAAGACAATAGATGCGCGCAGTGTGGAGAGGATGCATCACTTTGACAACTTGAGCAATATGACGTCCAGGGGCGGCGGAGCGACTTCCAAAGCGGGGGGCAGCACCAACAAAAAGGGCACTTGCTGGAATTGTATCATTGTTAAAAGGGAAATTATCAGAGGTGAAAAGGGTCACATATCACACCTGAAAAGGGGCATTGAACATATTTTAAAAGGGGCACTTATGAGAATGAAAAAGAGGCACTTAAAAAAAAGGAAATGTGCATTTGTTGTTAATAGGGGCACCTCTCAAACTTAAATAGGGCAATTATCAGAGGTGAAGGGGCACTTCTTAAAAGTGAAAAAGGGGCACTTATTGCAAAGGAAAATGGAAACTTGTCAAAGGAAAAGGGGCGCGTGTCAAAATTAAAGGGGCACTTATCAGAGGTGAAAAGGGGAAGGGGCACTTTTCCTATGGAAAAAGGGGCACTTCTTACAAAGTTAAAAGGGAACTTTCCTATATAAAAAGGGGCATATGAAAAAGGGGGCACTGTACCCCCCCCCCCAACTCTTTCTCCCTATCTCCATCTCTCTCTCTCTCTCTCTCTCACACACACACACTATCTCACATCATTGTTTATTTCTCTCACCATTAAATTGTTCTTTCTCATTTGGTTCCCTTTCTCTTTTACTCTATCTCTCTCTCTCTCTCCCTCTCTGTTCTCTCACTGTTCTATTTCAAGACTTTTCCATGTATAATTCAATGAACCCAACAGTATGCGCACTTAAAATCAAAAGATATGAAAGGAATATTGTATATAACATATCAACAATTATGTTCAATTTATTTATTTTTCTTAAAACAGAAAAGATTGTAATTCACAATGAATACGATTATAAAATTGAAGGTCAAATATTAAGCTCCAATAGCCTCATAATCTGCTACTTGAAACTATTAGAATTGAATGTTATGTATTTGTTTCATTACTTTTTCCCATTTTTTTAAAACAAAGCATAGTCTACTTTTGAGCCGTGTTTCATGACTTGCACTATATTATAAAACACATCATGAAACATGATTTCTTAAATGATTCTAAATCACAATTTTTCCAGTGAAACAATGAACATCTGATGTACATAAAAACGTCCTTATGAGTGATGGTTGCTTTGTGGTTCACATACACAACAAGGACATATAAGGCTTTTTATCAATGGTTGCTTGTTTGTTACCATAGCTTCATGTTATGAGGATTATAATACAAAGGTTTTGATCCCCATGCAGTCACAGTTACAGCAGATGGAGTCTGGTTCATTGAAGAGGCTAAGTAGAACTTCATAGTCCTTGCAAGCATGTCTGTTGAATGAAAAGAGAAAAGAATGAAAGGAAGCACATTGAAACCTATTTCTGTTAAACATTAAAAAGAGCTTGCATGTACATTGTGGTAAAAGTGGAGTGCATAATCAATTACATGAAAGTATTGATTGGAAAATGTGAATGAACAAATGCCATCCTTGAAGTTGGGCATACAAACAACAACTTATTCTTACAGCCTACCTGTCAGATATTCAGCAGCTCAGTAGTTCTCCTTCCTCTCTCTGAATTTGTCTCAGTTATCAGGGAATTTGACTTCATTTACTTTACTGAAGAAAACATCATCCTGAAACAAAAATAAACAGGTTTATACCTCATTAAAATATCAAAGATCTACTCCATTGATAATTGGTCTTAGTTATAGTGTCAATCACATTCTAACTTTAAAAAGAAACCTAAGGCGCCTTTCATGTAGGCAGTGACTAGGCACCCCCTCCCCACTCAGTTACTAGTAATCATTGATTTACAGAATGACTACCGGTTTCTCTTTTAAAGTCAAGAACAAACATACACATTCTTGCAGTACTATCTCATAAATATGCTTGCACCAAGTTGTACTTGCCATGTCATGGCCTAAGAAAGCCCTAAGTAGTTAAAGTCTATAGCCAAGTTAGTCCCTTCCCTAAAATCAAGTCTAGAGGTCTACATCTTACTTAGATAACCAGCCGACAGCTGGCCTAACCTAGATGTAAACGCAGCCTGGAATGGAGATTTTACAAGGCCCTAATCGTTAGAGCCCAACTTTTCCATTTTAGTTCAATCTAGCATTAGACCAAAGATTGTCTTTGTTTATGTTATCTCCCAAAATGAGCTTCGTGAAAGGGAAAAAGTAAAATGAAAATTTACTGCACTATACTGTACTGCAGTTTGTAGGTCTCTAAGTCTTATATGGTCCATAATTGTTAGTGGTAGGTTTGAATTTTCTTCTGACCCAAATTTGAAAGTAATTAATCAACTGTTGATTATTTGTGTCTTATTTTCAGATAGTTCCGCCCAGAAGTCTAGGCCAAGCTGTCACTGTCAGGAGTGACTGGTAGCCATGGCAATCGAGCTGAAAATATTAGCTCATGCCGATTTCAAATGAATAAAAGTTTGAGTGTAGATTGCACCTACATTCATCAGACAAAACAATTTTAAATCACTTCATAATGTACCTGTAGACACATCTGCAGATTCATAAAATCAGCAGATCTGTTTAATAGAAATTGTATAAACATGATTTAGTTTACAAAATTTAGGCGTAATTACAGCTTTACTCACCAGCAGACTTTCCAAGAAAAATGGAGTATCTATTTTTCCTGTTCAGGAAATAACTGGTGTTTGGCCAACTGGCTTGGAGACGCCTATGTGGGTGCAATCAATAGCACCGACCATATTAACGCCAGGGAAATGGCAGTAATTATAAAATTCATGTTGGGTCTGCACTCTGCAGGACTGCCTCTCTTGTTGAAGGAATTGAGATGTATTGCTCCCATCTCCTGGCAATGGCTATTGAGATGGACTTCACAAGGCCGGACACCGTAGCTTTGGAGAGGCCTTCTTTTTTCATCCCCATGCATCAATTGAAAAGAACCTGAAATAGCAGAAAATCAAGATGAAAAATATGTTGATATTTGATAAGATATTATAATTTCTCTTTCTCTGTAGTTTACTAACTAATAGTATTATTAGACTAAACTACTGTAACATTATCAACAAATGTATGTCAAAAAAAGGAAGCTTCTGTCCATTTCCTTTCAATTTCTATTAGACCTGTCTAGACTAGACTCTTATTGATGAAATTTAGATCTAGGTCTAGTAATATTGTTTAAAAAAAATGTTTTTTCTTGGGGGGGGGGGGGGTGGTTCTGAAAATCATCATCGTCCTGTAGAAAATTATTGCACCAACAGCCACAACTACTAGCACTGCAGCTCAGGCAAAGGTGATACCAGACCGAAATTTCTGTCTCTTCGTTCGTTAGCCTCTGATTTGGGTAGGGTCGGCTCCTGAAAGAGAGGAGCCGATGTTATGTTTAAAAACAGGTTCATTGAAACTAACATGCAATTGAAATTAACATGCCACTTAGAAATGCACTGCAGCTGTTAAGGCACAGTTCATTGTTATTCATATTAGATGCATACACACAATGAATGTATGCAAGGTCCTCTGTTCACTACATTATACATGTAAAAGCACATGGATATTGAGTCTGGATTAAACTACCAAAGCAACCACACGTGTTTCTGAAGGCTCCATTTTGTTTGTCTCTATACTTGCATTTATTTAGCTTAATAGTTATTACTTTCCAACCCACAACACAACAGCCGACACTACCCAAATCAGAGGCTAACGAACGAAAGAGACTGTATGCTAGTCCACTTTTAGGCAACAGCGTCTCAAAAATCCACTATAAAAGTAGTTTCTACGTCTAGCAATGATAGTGTTAAGGTGGTGTTAAGGTGGTATATGCGTACGAAAGTACAATAGTGCCAAGAAAAAAATTACCCGGTAAGAAATAGCTCAATCTCAGGAAACGAAAATGTTAACCGACAATTATTTGCACGTATGGGACTGGTCTGCGAACACCATGAAACTTTACCAAGTTTCCCCAAAATGTATTCAGTTAAAAGCATTTTAGATTATCACCAGTACAGCAACATGAAAGTAACACAAATACTTTATTAGCTGGTGTAACTTTCATGAGCGCTTATCCATACAAAAGAGTGTAAATTGTTATCAAATATAGAAATTCAAATGCAAAACTTACCGTTCACTCTCCGCGGACACTCGATTTCACTAAAACGTGACGTCACGCGAAGTTAGGCCGAACTATGACGTATTTAAACCTGCCCTCTGAGCGGCCTAAAGTTAGGCCGAACTATGACGTATTTAAGCCTGGCTTATCTTTAGGCCACCTTCGAGAATAGCAAAAAAGATAGTCCATGGTTTAAACCAGGTTTAGGCCACTGATTTAACTTAGGCCGCTTTCGAGAATACCACCCTATGAATACAATAACTGTGACAAATGTCAAGATAAGACGGAAATTTGCTCTATTATTGAAAAAACAGGCACTCGGGCAGTAAAGTGATTTATAGTGAAGCACAATGTGAAAACATTGCTATTAAAGAGCACTACGTTGATATAGACTAACAGGGTGAAATGTTTACAAGTTAATTTTGGATAATGTAAACATGCACAGCCTTTTGCGCTGGGGGGAAGCCATTGGAAAGGCTCATTAATGTAATTGATTCCTTAAGGGTATATCAATTAACAATGTGGAAATGACACTAGACTACTGCCTTGTTATGTTATCAGTCGTCTCATTATGTCTTTGGCACTCATTCACAAATCTGTCTCCTTCCTACCCCCACTGTATTACTATGCGATTCTAAAATTCAATTATACATATCAAACCATTTAATGTACAGTATGTCCTTGATTTTCTTTTTACTCTCAAAGATAACACTTTCTCCTTTCTCAAAACTACCCAGCAGCCTCTCACAGCTCTCAGAAAAACAGTTTTATCACTGAGATAGCTACCCTGTTTATTAAAAATAAATAAATAAATAAAAATAAAAAGCAGAAAGAAGCACTCTGAATAGTTCTGAGTGTTCAAATGAGAGAATAACCTGAAGTATAATGAATAAGGAATATTGTATCTGATCCCTCTTCCTAACCTGGGGCAATATGTAATTATCCAAGGTATACATTAGCTCACATGCAATGTATGGTAATGTGTATGACTGTATTCAATTTTGCATTGTACATAACCATTTGTATTATTCTTTTTAAAAATTTAAGTTACTTGAGGGGGGTGGTGGGCAGAATGTTTGAAAATCGTCACAGTCCATGATCCCTGGATACTTAATTTTCTATTTCATAGAATCTCAAAGGAGGGAGGAGGAGGCTATCTTTCTACCCCTAAGGTGGATCCACCCATGGGTGTGGTCATGGTTGCCATGGTGATATTTCAATGAGATAAGAAAGTCTTACCTCTGGGAGTTGGGGTTTATTACCGGAATCCTGGTCACCGGTGACACTCAAGTAAGATGCGGCACTAACAGGCCTCTGGGTCGACGCCTTGACGCCCCTGGGGGGTTTAGAGGGGGTCGACGCTACCACGCTGGTGGGTCTAGCTCCTGATGTCAGGCGACGCCCCAAGGAAGAGGAGGGCTGCTTCTTCTGAGAGGGTTGAGGGTCAGGGGTCATATACGCCGCCGAATCGGTGGGTGACGGGATGTGACGCGACTGTGGAGGGGTTAAAGGTCGTATGAGGTGGAATGGAGGTGGTGCACATGATGAAAGGTGACATTCACAAATGGACCACGAGTGATAGGAAAATGAGCAAATTAAAAGAGCATGAAATGATTTTTAAATCATTTGTTAGTATTTCAATTTTTTTTTTTAAACGTGCAAGCTGAAAGCATTAAAACTTTAGTAGCAGAAGCCATATACACATCATACACGCCATTGAATTCCCATTCATAAGAATCAATATTTCACTAATTTCATTAAGTTCTTTTGGCATATGAAGTCATAAAGAAGCACTTATTATATCTAAAAATAATAATTCCTGCAATATAAAAACAAACAAAAAACCAGGAAATGCAACACCTCAATGCAAGCACAAACTGATATCCACTTCAAACAATCTATAGTACTTTGGATTCGATTAATGCTGTTTTAGATCACGATATATGCAATAATGAGTCATCAATGGATATGATCCCAATATTCGTTTTCAAAATAGTCATGAGGAAAAATAGCCACTTTATCCATGAAACCCAATTTCCTGTTTACCCAAGCTCATCATTTGTAGTTGAATCTATTCTTGAAGATTAGAATTACTCTTTTTCCTGAAAGGCGTCAACACTGGTCATATGAAGTAAACAAACTACGGTATGATGCAACAAACTTATAGCAGACAGAGCTTTCCTTCTTATGGAAAGACACATGGAGGCTACCTGAAGTTGTGATGTTGCACTTTTCCTGGTACACTGTCAGATATCTGATACAAATCTGTAGCTGTTTCTTTTGCAGAGTGAAACATTTGAGCAGTGTGTATGACCTAGTGGACATCAGGACAGGTTTCTTAACTCAATGACTACTGTATTCTTTTATTCCCATCGGCTTAATACAGGGACCATCCTGTTCCAGTATGTGATAGGTTAACTCTTTTACCACAGACTTTTATTGTTACCCTAAGCTTAAAGGTAATACAAAGCTTGGTATGGGGTCATGAATTTGGTTCAAATCAACATATTGGAAGCATATGCGATTTTACAATATCAATGATCGTTGTCGCGGTTGAAATCGAGTCTAAAGTGATAAAATTGTAAATAATATATTCTTCATGTTGTATAGCTCCCTCTTAAGACTGATATTACTTTAGCTTTAAAACAATGTTTCTTGACTACAATCGACCGATTTGCTATTTCCGTCTGGAAATTAAAATATCAGAACTGCATATTCTGATAATTTCATGGTTGCAGCTACCATGGAATAGCCTTAGGCGCTATTTGAAATATTTGAAATTTACCGGGAGCACCAGTAATGTTTTGATTATTCAATTTCTCGAAAGCAGAAGTGTTTTAGGGGCTAAATTTTCTAGGGCTTATAATAAATTCACAGGGGCATCCAAATATATCAAAATTTTATAGAAACTAGATGGAATTCGACTGCGCGCAGTCGAAAATGATGCCTCCGTTATAGAGCAATTTTACAAACCAAAACAGAAAAAAAAAATTGAATTCACGTTCAATGGTAATCCATTGACAGGTTCTCAGAATATTGTGATTACAAGCAATTTCTCATATACATATATGACCCTTTGATCTTTGACCTCATGACCATAAAATCTACTCAGTTCATTGGCTCTGCAAGATGTTCTGAGTTAAATAGTAATCCCTCTGTCAGTTCTAATGAGAATGCGTTCACAAGCTATTTTTGCAGACATAATGGGCCCATGACCTTTGACCTTTGACCTTATGAACCAAGAATCTACTCAGTTCATTGGCTCTGCAAGTAACAAACATGACCTAATTTTGGCATGAATCCATCAATCGGTTCTTGAGATAACGCGATCACAAGCTGTTTTTGCATTCATAATGTGCGCTGTGGCCTTTGACCTTTGACCTACGCATACCTGCCAACCTGAGACAAGAGAAATTAGGAATAAATTTTTCTGGATGGACTACGAGGTCGCGAACCACCAAAGGATTGGGGTAGTAGCCCGTAGATTTGGGGGGTACACAGGACTTTAGGGTCTATTTTTTTTTCCATGTCGCTGTGTATATTTTCTATGAGCGCGAGCGCGGATGTCGGCGTGATCTGGTTATCAGTGCTGTGTTATGCTTTAGTCTTATACATACATACATACATATTGGTATTTATTGAGCACCTTTACATGAACATGCTCAAGGCGCTTTACATTTCAAAATAGAAACATAATACTTATATACTCTCCAAGTGCATTACACTCTAAAAAAAAAAAAAAATAAAAAATAAAAAAAAATAAATAAAAAAAATAAAAAAATAAATTAAATTTAAAAAAATCGGAGTTTTGAGGCATGCATTCGGAATTCGGAGTTGGTATGAAAAATGCGGAGGAACTCCGCCTAAATTGGGGTGGTTGGCAGGTATGCCTACGTGCTCCAAAATCTAATCAGATTGTCTTCCTATGGTGATACACACTATCATTAAGTTTGAAGTTTTTACATCTCCAGTGGTTCTTGAGATATCATGATAACAATCTCAATGTATGGAATTTCATAAGTTGACCTCTGTGACCCTTGACCTTTGACCTACGTGCTCCAAAATCTAATCAGATTGTTTTCCTATAGTGATACACACTATCACTAAGTTTGAAGTTTAAATCTCCAGTGGTTCTTGAGATATCATGATAACAATCTCAATGTATGGAATTTCATAAGTTGACCTCTGTGACCCTTGACCTTTGACATACGTGCTCCAAAATCTAATCAGATCGTCTTCCTATGGTGATACATACTATCCTTAAGTTTGAAGTTTAAATCTCAAATGGTTCTTGAGATATCGCGCTAACAAACTCAATACAAGGAATTTCATAAGTTGACCTCTGTGACCTGTGACCTTTGACCTACGTACTCCAAAATCTAATCAGATCGTCTTCCTATGGTGATAAATACTATTCCCGAGTCTTAAGTTTAAATCTTAAATGGTTCTTGAGATATTGTGATAACGGTCAAACGGGACGGACGTACGGACGGACGTACGGACGGACGGACGTACGGACGGACGGACGGACGGACGTACGGACGGACAACCCGAAAACATGATGCCTCCGGCACCACCTTCGGTGGCGGAGGCATAAAAATTCCTATCCATCCAATTTTCAAAATTTCCCAAAACTTTGCAATACCTGTAACCCTACCACTACTGAATTCTTCTATCCCCATACACTTAATACAGGGTTCACCCGGTTACCAGAGGCAAGGGGTTAACTACTTACCGGCATAGAGGATGTGGAAGACGTGGAGCTTCTCTTATAATCATCCCTATCAACCAGATCAGAATAGTCACACTCTCCTTCCTCCTGGTATGAGACAGGTCAAAGGTCAAGGGTCAAGTGGGGTCAAGTCAAAGAAATGAAATTTCATGTAACATCCTTTGAAAGAAATATTATTAGACATGATTGACGACTATGATTTTGATAAATTGATGGATATGATAACAAAAATGCCATTATGACCGGTGAACAGATAATAGTTGTATTAATATTCACATTACTTACGTAATGTTAACAACTAAATTTGTCATACCCTTACCAAGTTTTGTCATTTTTAAAGGATGTGAAAAATAGATTTGTCCCCATCTATATTTCTTAAAGAGAAGGTTGAGTTCTGGGAAGAGGTTAAAAATAATTTGTGAGCATTATCATTCTTATTATGCAAGTGTGGAAGAACATCAGATAAGACATGTTTCCTGAAAAGCATGGCTCTTCAAATGCCTTCATATTCCAAATATGTCATGTAACATCGTAAAACTCAGGGGGGGGGGGTAGGATTTTTACGCCACATGTTCGTGTAGTCCCATATACATCTTTCTGTGTACAGTGTTTGTAACTTTACCAAGACTTGGCCAAATTTCTTATCATTTTGATGATTCCAGAACCTTGCAATACACACAAATTCTTATATGCTAGATGATCAACCTTTTCTGGTCGATTCCACACCATTTCTTTCACAATGCAATCGCATGACCAGAACTCAACTTCATCTTTAAGAGTGGGACATATTAAAGCTTACATCTAAAAAGTATTCAATAAAAGCCCTAATTCAACCAGCCCACCTTTCATTTGTGAGTTACAAACAAAATAAATAATAATAATACAAGGAGTATGAATAAATTAGTTGTTAACTGTACATTTAAATCTGACAGACAGACTTTGGTGGTCCATAAATGCAATAAGATAAATAGAGGAATATTCTTACCTGGCCACAAGCTTCAATCAAGGTATCTCCAAACGGTGAGATTGGATTCTGTAGAGATTAACAAAAGACCTTTGTTATATAGAATAAGAATGAATGATGCTCTAGCAATAAAATAGCTCTTTTTTTTTTACATGACACAAAGGAGTGTCATGCCCATCCTTGACAAATGGCTTTGTTTAGGGCTTGGCTCTTATTATAATTATTATGTATTTGGCATCACCTGTACCAGAGAGGCGAACAAGGAACTGAATCACTGTGACCCTCGGGTCTCTCCTCCCGGTATAACTAATTATGTTTGTGCAGGTGGACTACTACACTGGGGTTTCCCCCTACTCTTATAGTTCTTAACGTGGAAAGGTGGTGACTCTCCTCTACACAGGGCCTCCATTTAATGTCCTATCTGAAGGACAGAGTTTTTTTCCCCCTTAACATAGTCTGCGTCTATGAAACAGGGGAGGGGCACCTCAATACACAACGTAGGCTTTAGTTCTCTGCCTGGGTTGGATTCGTACCCACGATCATTGGTTCGACAGGCAGTCGCTTTACCGACTGAGCCAACTCGCCTCCTATCCACCATTCTGCCTATCTGTCTATCTATCTGTTTATCCGTCTGTTTCTCTCCATCTCTCTGGCATTCATCTACCATCTTACCTTCTTTAGAGAGTGGAACCTGATGAGATCATTCAGAGTCTTGTGAACTTGAGGCTCCCCTACGACCACATACTTTCCATTGTGAAGCTGATCTATCATGAAGTGCTTGCATCGATCCTCTCCCCTGCACATAAAAAACCCAGATAAATACATTGTAAGAACTGCCATATTGTGAAAAGTACAAGACACTTACTTGCATATTGAATAAGGCTTACCCTTTCGATAAAACTAAGACGATACTTTTTCTACATATCAGTATTTGGCAATATGCAGCATAAGAGATGAAAGACAACTGTGACCCCCTCTAGTCCATCGCTACATGATTGGGATGAGAAGGTGTGCAACTACAATAGTAGGATTTCCAGTTATGTCTCATATCAAAACAAAATTACATCGAAAATTCCTACATAGATGCTTGAATTAGGTTTACAATTTACAATAAATCAAAGACGATACTTTTTATTTACTGATTATTTGACAATATGCAGTGCATATGAGATGAAAAGACACCTATGAACTCGTCCAGTCCACAATTATAGGTTTGGAATGTGAATGTGTACAACTACAATAATAGGATTTCATGCTAATGTCTCAAATCAAAACTTACATCAAAAATTCCTACATAGATGCGATTCTCTTGACTATGCCGTGCAGGAATTTTAACTTACCTGAGTGAAAGTGAATATCCAAATCGACTTTCACTAACCCTGATGAGATAGGCTCCTACTGGCTTGGTTTGTAGCAGCTCCTCTGCTTGTCTGAAAGAAGAAAGAAAAAACAATGAGAAGTTTTGATAGGTCACTGATGACAAAATCCATGTCAAATATAGAACAAAAAACTATTATTGTTGTACATGTACTTGAATGTTCCCCTTAGGTTGTTAACATTCTATGGAGAAGTATTCTTTAATCAAATTTTCGCTAAAAACTATATAAACATGCACATGTGTACGTCTTTTTGTTTGACAAGATTCTCTTACCCTTCACTCTGCAAGAACTCTGCAAGAACTCCATTGGATGTAGCATAATTATTCTATATCCATAATTGTTAACAAATTTATAAATTTCCATATCCTCTAAAGAATATACATGTATAAGTTTCAAGTTTCAAGTTTAATTATCTTTCTTTCATAACACATTACAAATATGGCATGAATATAAAAGAGTGAACAGAATATGGTGTTACAATAGAAAGATGAGGTGACCTTGGTTGAAAGCAAGGCTTGTGGATTTAAGGTCCCTCATGAGTAGTTTATGAGTATGTTTATGTTTATGAGTATGCACCATATACATAATTGTTTAACATAGGTTCTGACACAACCCCCTTAATTAAATAGATTTGATCATTTATCATGAAAATCATGAAAATGGATATTTATGAAAATTTCAGCATAAAGAAAGAGAGAGCTTGAAAGTGTAATCACAGATTTGTGATGGATTGACTACAAGGTAAAACATTCATAACTCTCCCATTTCCTATTGGGTTTTCCTCAAACTTTCATTGACTTGTTTCTCTCTGTTTCCTGTTGTTCATTAAAACTAACTCGATAGGAGGGAGAACTGTCCCCTTGAAGGGGGTGTAGCATGGCAAATACGGGTTAACGCCATCTACAACTTCTTTTGGACCACTGCATGTAAACGGATGGACTTGATGAATGGTCAGTGCGTGCTAGACTTTCGCAAAACAGACCAACGATCTCCTAACGCTTCGGTTTTGCGTATGTTGCACGCATGTGCATACTGCGGTCACGTCATCCGTAGTTGTATTATACAGAGTCAGGCCACGGGAAAGACGTATAGTCTTGTCATGTTACAACCACTTTAACACCATGATATGAGCAAGAAGATGCTTACCTGCGGGTAATTATTCCATGGAACCAGGGTAGAAGGTGCCCCCATCTTTCTTGAGCTTCGTCGACTGTGTCTCCTTAAACCACATAATGGAAGCACCCTTAGTCCCAATCCGTCCAAACTTACTATTAGAATGCTTTACAAACTCATCCTCGATCACGTCATCATCTTCATCATCGTCGTCATCCTCATCCTCATCGTCCTCTTCGGGGGTGCAGCCTGTCAAAAAGATGAAGGATTGTCATGGCTGCTTATCACATCTTAAAATGAAATATTATTTTCCCCCCACACCCTTTTTCACTTGGAAATCCAGCCATCCACTTTGATACTGTATTCTCATTTCGTCCTCGAGTGGTTTATGTACTTGACTTGAAATTCAAAGGTCGTGGGTCCGATCCCCGACAAAGCACTTACATGTATGTCCTTTGGCAAAGCATTAACCTACATTTGCCACTCCATACCCATGAGAGAAATGGGAATCTGGTAGATGACAAAAGCCTTTGTGTTAGTAATTGCCATACCCCCTCACGATTACCATATGGTAGGAATACTCCCCAGGGAGTGAAGAAACTGAAGATGGTGCACATTGTCATGAATGAATCCGATGACTGGGGTAATATCTACCATATAAAAAGCCCTTAGAGGCGGTATATTAAGCGCTATATAAATCCAGATTGTTATTATTATTCTTCCAATCCTCTTATCGCTGTGTTGCATCTAATTTATTACTACTAAAAACTATCTACCTCTCAATTGCTGATTTTGAACCATTACCTTCTCTACCACAATTATTGGTTCAGGTTCTTGTATGATTGGAGCATTGGCATCAAACATCACCACACCTGTAGAATTATGCAGCTTCTCAACAAACTCTGGAAGATACAGACATAATATAATTTATCAGCTGATTAGTTTCTTATCCCAAACTTGCTGGGGATTATCCCTTGATTGGCCTTGGGACTTTGCCAGTCTCCCCACATATACTCAATCATCATGTTCAGTGTGTATGGTTCTTTATTGCATTCTTTTGTTTCTGTTGTAATATTTCAAAAAGAAATAATGTAAAAAAAAAGAAAATGTAGAAAAAAATTGAAATAAAGTAATTGAAATGAAAATAGAGAATAGAGATACATGGTCTCACTCTTAAGTAATAACTTTTCTCTCTGTCTAATTGCATGTTTCCTATCAACTATTCATTAAAATTCTAGGAAGTATTTGGCAGGGTCATATAAGACTTTGTGAACCAAGTAGAGGTGTTGTGGTCTAGTGGGTAAGTCGTCAGACTGTAGAATCACTAGATACAAGGTTTGATTCCCTGCATCGTTTGGCAAGAATCTACATTCATCACATTCGACCCAGGTGTAGTAAAGTGGGTACCCTGACGGCACTGAGTGCTACAGTTACCCGATCAAATTAAGCCAAAATACATAAAGTCCTTAGAGACGTTATAATACCATATGCATCATAAAAGAATGGAATATTATCACTGATCTTACAAAAATTCCAGGGCTTGAGATAAACTTACCATGTGGAATCATCTTATCTTTCTGTAGCATGTCCATCATGTTGTTTGTTTGCTTGAGACTCAAAGCTGCTACTTTGGCCAGGAAGGCTTCACTCTCGGCCTTCTCCTTGGCAGCTTTCGCATTGAGCCGTCTGAACAGACGTCTAGCTAGGAACCCTCGTACCACTGAAAATATAATGATCGTGTACACTCTTTTATAAATAAATGTCAAGTGAGTTTGCATGTAGTATATTTAAACAGTGCCAACTTTGATTTACACTACTAAGACATATAAATCCACTCATTTTTATATCAATTCTCTTTGAGCTATAAAAAATTGCTAAGCATCCACGTATAGCATATACCACTGCAGAAATACACTTTTCCAAAATAACTGCATAAATTACATGCACACATGCATGCTATTAAGAACCCTTGTACCTCTGAAATAATAATGATCATGTACACTATTTAAGTAAATGTCAAGTACGTGCGCATATGATATGTTACCAGTGCTGAATATGATTTACCCTTGGCTAGGTAGGACAAGCAATAAAGTTTGTCCTACCTAGCAGCAATTAATATATTGTCGGAGGGGTGACAAAACCTTGTATCTCAATTTTTTGAGATTTTGATTTTTTTGCATAATTTTGTACCTAATGGCCTACGACACCACCTGATAAATCCATGGAACGCCTCCTGTCTCGGTTTTTTCACAAATTCCAAACAAAGGACAGTGTCACAGCACTAAATTTGTTGTGACAGGAAAGGTTTTTGCGCTTTCCTGAAAATTCATGATTTTTGAGATACAAGGTTTTGTTACCCCACCGACGATATGCAATTTGAATTCTGACTATTGAAATAAAATTATTAAAAACAGGTGATGAAATAACTTGCAATATGGCACTTAACAAAGAATTGTGCATTTAATTTGATTACATTACGAAAATGATCTATTAGCTCTCGCTTAGCACTTGCCAATTTGTGAGTTCCCTCTACACAAAATATTGAGATGACTTACATCTTGTGAGATGAACAGCCGATTCACCCATTTTCCTCATCTTCTCCTCGAGCATGTCCTGGTGGTAGTACTTCAAGAATAACTTGGTCTTCCTGTACCATGATAACAACAAGAATAAAACTCTTATACAGTAGGCTTATGGTTGCACCATGTGAGAGAGGGAGAAGGATTGGGAAGTGTGAGTAGTCCTGAAAAGGACTGTTGGTAATTATCTTTCTTGAGCTTATAGTACTAAGGAGAACTATAGCGCCGGTTGGAGAGGATGGGTAGTAGGAGTGGCTCTTCTCATATGGTAAAGATTATGACATGCAGATTATCACTTATCTATTTTATTACAGCTCCATGCAATGTCTAACAGCTTAACGTACATCATTAAAACAAGTCCAAACATTGAGGAGTATACATGTAGTAAGACCTTTTAATTATTATCATATGTGTACAAATGACAATGAATGGATCATCCTGTATAAAACCATTATTGAAAGAAATATCTCTTTCAAAAATGACCTTTAAGATTCATGTACTGGTGAAAAGTTTCCTCAGGAACAAGTAAAGATCTAACAGCCTTAATAGTGTCAACAGATATTTCTATGACAACAACTCTTTGATGTCATTTGAGTTTTCCACTTTTTACCTCAATGCAGTTCTTCTGCCTCTATCCCGTATCCAAAATATTAAAGACCTACAACATATTCTGCTTATAATTGGAAAAGCAAGGTATAAGATATTCAACTAAATCTTATAAAAACTACAGGCTGCCAAATGATTGTTCTTTGTTTGTTTGATTAGGTCACGTTAGTTTTGAACCATTAGGCCGCCCATAGACATTGTATTCACACTCACAAGACAATAATTATGTAAAACAATTTTCCAACTATGTTTGGCCAAAACTCCTATGAAAGTGTCCTTGACTCACCCCACTTTCCAGTCCTTGAGTCCGATGGTTTCTAAGATCTTGACGCATCCTCTGTGATCAGTAGCCAGCTTAGGACTTAGAGCAAGTACGTTGTACCTGAGCAAAAACAGTCCACATCATCATATTAAAATTTAAACTCTAAACTTATATCCTACTACTCCACAGTATTATCATAATAACAATAATATCAATTTTTGAAACAGTCTGAATATATGCAATATGTTTTTGAATCTATATTTCCAAATGTATTTTAAACGTTTGTACAAATGTATTTATGTCATTTTTAAAAAGGAATATTTGTAAAATCATCGCAATTCGGCAATGCCGCAATGATGTTTTTTCATTAATAAACCAGTTATCTATCTATCTATTAAAACATTATCAAACATAACAATCATTGTGAGAATATTGTCGCTATTCAACCTCAATGATAATATTGCATTCTTACCTCATTTGTTGTATTCAATTTGAAAGTTTGTTAAACATGGTTAAATTACTCTTGAAAGCTTTTAGATGCTATTTCATTTAATTGAATATGCATATTTTTTCACTTTATCTGATGATAAATAAGTTGTTAACATACATTTCTTGATTTGTTTTTTCAAGTTTACGTTGAAATTTGGTTTCTATAAGCTTTGCACACCTCCCTATCTTTTCATCTACCTATCTTAAAACATCTCTTCTCTCTCTATCTTTGCCTCTCTTTTTGACCTTCTTTGTAGTTCTCATGATAGAATTTCTGTTATATTCAACTTAAGTGTTCGTTCAGTGTGGGTAAATTACTCTCAAAATCTTAAAGCTGTTCAACGCTATTTCATTTCATTTTATATGCATATTGTATCACTTTATCTGATGATAAGTAAGTGGTTAATATGCTTTTTCAAGTATATCTCCACTAACTTAAACTTGTGTCCTCGAGCAACTAGATCGTTAAGAACAAAGTGATCAGCTGGATCAAAGTCTTGCAAATCATTCAACAACTTAAAAAACCTGAATCATTTGTCGGACTCTCTGTCTAGCTCTCTTTATCTCTCCCCAAATTTCCTTGCTATCCCTAGATGTCTGAAACCCTTTGTCTCCTACCTGTTGACAAAGTCAGCAAACTGTGGTCTGATGGCGTAGCCTAGACGTCTGATCTTGGTCGTCTCCAGCATACCGGTGTATCTCAACTATGTAAGTCAAGACCAAACATGGAAAGGATAATTAAGATTTGACAACATACAATCTGAAAAGGCATTCCTGCCAATGAAATGCAGCTGAAGGAAAAAAGAATTAAGTACTAAAGTAAAAGCTGAATTTTTATTAGATAAATATTTGAATGAATGACCTTCATAACCCCTTTCTTTCTTTTTCTTTATTTGGGGGGGGGGGGACCCCTACACACATATAATTAATTAATAAGAATTACAGTAGTAAGAGTAACATATAACAACTCTCATGCCTTCTCTTATTCTGAAGCGCATGGAGAACAGAGGAATGGCTAAACATCATTATGTATTATTATATTCAGTGGCGGATCCTGGGAGGGGGCACAGTGGGCATGTGCCCCCCCCCCCCCCCCCCCCGCCAAAAAAAATAGTGCGCACTCCCCCCCCCCCCCCCCCCCCCCCCCACTGAGCAAATTTGCGGCCGGCGCAATTTTCAAATATTCGGGAGCCAAAAAAAAAAAAAATGTGCTCTTACCCCCCCCCCCCCCCCCTTATTCAGTGGCTGGCTGAGTCGTTGCGATTTTTTTGGGACCAAAAAAAAATATATATGTCCTCTTACCCCCCCCCCCCCATGTCCCCCCCCCGGGAATAAATTCCTGGATCCGCCCCTGATATTGCGTATCATAATGTATTTCATGCATACAAAACTGGTAATCTTTCTACAGATCTTCATGATAACTAGGCTGCATATCCCTTTGAAGATTAACAATTTAGAAGAACAAGAACAAAGTACATGTAGTATAATAACACAATTCTGCAATGAGAGAAGACCTAAACAAAAATAATGTTGTATTGCCCTTTAGGTGCTTTAATACATTTTTTTTCAAAAAAAACAAAAAAACTTTAAAAAGTCGACCGTAGATTTCAAGACTTTTGGGTCGCAAAGGGCAATTAATACAACCTTTTTTAAAGGCCTTATTCATATAAATGAAGAGCGGACATATTTCATCTATAAAGTTTCAACAATAAATAGATATACAGCATGTGTCGAACTTACAGTACATGTATTCTTACTTTATTCAGCTCTGCCCCCCTTAATTGGACTTTGAACACAATTACTTACACAGTGTAAGTACCGGTAGTTAGAGTTTATAGAGCACAGTGGACTTTGTACATGGTCCTTGAGAGATTTGTGTTTGTCAACTATTATTGATTGGTTGTTCATTTTTGTTCCTGATGAATTCTCAAATTCACAACTCTTTTTTTATGGCTAACCAAGCGTAGGAAACAAGTGGACTGGAATTCCAGAAACAAACGCCAGTTTGAATTTGGTAAGTTACTGTAGTTAGTACATACGGTATGCATGCCGCGGGAAGGCTGTGCAATTGCGACCCAAACAGACGAAACTCTCACTTGAACTGTAGTAGTTCCAGTTGCACATTTACATTTTTGTCACCAGAATCAATTAGGAATCCTGGACAGAAAGAATGTCAATTTATGTAGCACATATACATGTGATACTCATGGGAGGTTTCATACTTTCAATCCTATTTTTGTTTGTGCTACCAGTACTACAAATAAATAGTACCAGAATATAAATATTATATTTATTTTCTGTAGTAGTACTACATACAGCTTTACAGGCCAATTTTATCGATGTATCTGGTTGACAGAATTCATCAGTTGGGGAGGCCTGGCAAGATGACCTTGTGCAGTGCAGTCAGTTGGTGCGTTAGTATACATGTACATCCATAGCTATGAGAAAACCATTGCCCAAAAATCTATGTAGACTATATTTATAATTTTTTCCCTCATTTCTTTGTGGCATAGATTCCACATAAAGCTAGGGAGGTACCTTATCGTGTTGGTAAGTGATTGAAAGGAAAGAGAACTGGTTGATATCATGAAGATCAGCAAGAGTGAGGATGGATTAACTTATTTCATCAAGTCTGAAGGGTTTTCTTATGGTGACTTCAATAAAGCCGGTGAGTACTTTCCTTGATCCTGAAATATCCCTAAAGATGAGTCCATTTTTTCAAAATTTTCAAAAATATGTAAAATGGGCCTTTATTTAAAAAAATTACCCAAAATGACCCTTAAACATGTGTAGGGGTTTTGAGGCTTGAGTAGCGCACCCCTGTCCAAACCAAATCTGAGAACTCCCCCAGGGAGTTCGGTACACAACTGAGAAGCTGAGTCAGGGGGTGGGGGAGGGTCAAATCATTTTCCCTACCACTGTGATTCAGTTTCATGTAATTTTGCTTCGATATGTGGAAAGAAAAATAAATAGAAGGACACTATCGTTGTTAATAAGGAAAAATTGCAGCTGGGCATCGATATTGATCTTTATTCACAATTTCACATACATGTTCATTCACTGTTTTCATAATGCAATATTATTCAAGGGCCTCAGGGCTACCACAATCACTAACAGAGACATGCATGTATCTGGTAAAAATGTGGTAAACACTATAAAATTCATGTATCACTTTATCAAGGGAACAGTTCATGAAAATGAATACAAGAATTTAGGCCCTTAATGTGTATCAAAGAACATAAGGCATCTGCAATGTGGAGCCCTGCGTAATCATCATTCCTTAAATAACCAAACATTTGTAGTTTTGTTTATTTCTTTGCAGCGAAAGTGGATGTTTGGAGATTAGTCAAGCACTTTGAGTCGGGTCGGGTGACGATGATAAGCCTCACTTTGAGAAGAGATTTTCAGATTGATTCCAGCCTAAGTTTTTTTGTGTGTTACCAGACTTTGGAAGTCTCTCCAGATTTTTATGACAGAGCAGATGTGTCTTTTCCATGGAGCATGAAGATTAAAATTAGTTATGTGGGAAAGACCTCTTTCTGGCTCGATACTGCTACATACTGCCAGAAGACGGGCAAGGTACTCGCTCAAAACTTCTGCCAGGTAGTAAGGGTCAGTCTAGCTTCACGACGACCGATTGAGCTTCCTGCCGAAGGTGCAGACAAGTACAGAGCATCGACATCCAAGAACCCACCCCAAAGATTCACCTTTCCACAGATCACTCCAAGCAGGGAACAATCATTTACATATACCACTAAAGCTCTACCAAGTGACACCGACTCGAATATCCATGTAAACCAATCAGTATGCTTTAGGTATTGCCATGATGGTGCCAGTCTAGCTGCATTACAAGGTAATATCTTCAGCAAATTCTCTCAAGATTTTGCATACTATAATGTAAAGACATTCTCTGTGGAATATGTTGGAGAGATGAATGCAGGCGATGACATTGATGTCCAATGTTGGGAAGATGAGAAAAACCAATGTGTCTTGTATTTCATTATTAGTGTAAGGGATAAAGTCGCTTGTAGATGTCAAGGAGAATGGTATACTAATCCAGATGGTGATTTTCTTTCAATGAAAGGAAAGTTGAATATATGTCTCAATGCAAATCTGTAGTTATCAGATAATGTTTCAAATCAGTTGCCCAGTCTTGCTTGAATAAGAAACATTTTGTAAGCATATTTTCACTGAAGAGGTAGTTTAAAATGTGAAGTACAATATGAGGTGTCATTTTTCACTCTGGGGATGAGAGCTAAATAATCTTAAAAGTCTACTTTGAAGAGATCAAAAACATTCAGAACTGATTAATTTTACATGCGTCAAATATTCAAAAAAGCAATTTTACAATTGTGGAACATTTTTGCTAATTTCTGCATCATATTTATACATTTGATTCAAATGATTGTAAAATTTACATAAGATTAAATTGTTCAGCCATTCACCAAAGTGCTATGCTACCCCCTGAGGAAATTATTTTTAATTTAAGTTAGTGATATGTTCAAGTGTTGATTGATATCTCTTTTGGGGCTTGCATCTTGTAGCCTGAGTAATGCTGTAAAAAAATGTAAGTCCTGAATATTGAAATTAGCAGTCGTTTTTTGATATTGTGGTGGTAGCGGTGGGATCAGACCCATTGAGCTGACTGCTAAATACCTGTATTGTGATTAGCACTTGTTATACAACACCTACGTGGATCCTTGTCATTTGATTGGAGGATTGTTGGTCACATGATTTTCAATAGATGTTATATTGCACGACCGTGCATTTTTGGTTATATGCAGACTGCGTACCTCTCTGCGGTGCGCGTATCCCTGTGTGTATCTGACGCGAAGGCAGTCTGAATGTATGTAATCGAGAAGGCTTGACTCCAAGTTTAATAAAAATAAGGAGTAAAGCATAATTGTTGATTAACTTTCTATTGGATCTTCTTTGATGTTGTATAAAACAAATAATGAATGTTTTTCATTCGTTCGATAGTGCAAATATTTTCATTCGTTGAAAGATTAACATTAATTCTATTCATCTCGGCTGACGCCTCGTTGAATAGAATGTTAATCTTTCAAGTCATGAAAATATTCGCACTATTGAACTCATAACCATTCATTATTTGTATATCATTTAATGTCAATAGTGCACACAGTACAATCTTTAACAGTACATCTTAAGTGTATTTGTAGTGTATAGGATGGTTATTAGTTTCACTGTATAATCTAAAGCGGCATTTTGGATAGTTATGGAATTATTGCCAGTAAAAAATCATGAAGGGAGAACTCTGCTTGAAGGTGAACTACAATTGCCAGTTATTGTGCATTGTGAATGTACACTTTTAAAACTGTCATATCCTCTTACATATTTCCTCAAACTTTCACTGATCTGTTTCTCTCATTGTCATGCTATCATTGAAACCAAAATGATGTCAGGGTAGACTTCCCTTTTATAGATGTACCCAATGCCCTTAGGCTTAAAAAAAGATGTTGTATTGCCCTTTAGGTGCCAAAACATATATAGGTCGGTTGGTCGGAAATCTTTTTTAAAATTTTTGTTTTAATCCCTCTTTGGGCTAATATTTCTCAGTTTTGAATGCTTTTATTTAATACATTTATTTTCTAAAAAACGGTAACAATTCAAAAAAAAAATTTAAGCTGACCGTCGATTTCAAGATTTTTGGGTTGTTCACAAAGGGCTATACAACATCTTTTTTTAAAGGCCTAAACCTGTTGAAGTAAGAATCTACTTCTAATTTGCCTTTACTAGACCTAGACTAACTAACCTGTGCCGTGACATACGTATCATCAAAGTTTCTTGCAGACTTGGAAGTGTTTGGTTTGACGCATCTGACAAAGTGAGGATTGGACTTGTTCAGAAGCTCCATCAGGATAGCTAGTGATGTCTGCAAGATAAAGACAGCTGGATGGTTAACATCAACATACAAAAGAAGTCGAGCTGAATTCTCGCTATCGCCAATATATTGAAAATACCTGTATGTTATGTTCAGGCCCCATTTTAAATGCACTCTGGGATAGATTGGTGACCAAGATGGCTCCGGTCTATTTCCCGCGGCTGCACCCTGCATGCCAGCGTTGATTGTGCAAGTGACTGTGTGTAAGAACTTTAGTGCCCAGAGTTGGTACTCATTCACACGTTTAAAAAAAGTGTGAAGGCTTTTTTTTGTTGCTGTGGTTTACCAAGTATCTGAACGAGCCCTAACTCATTATATGCCATACAAATAATCTTCAAGATTATTGAAATGTTTCCAATGCAAGATCATTCTATACAAGTGTTAAAAGGGTTGCCATGGATCTAATCAAGACTGAAGACGTGTATCTTTACAAAAACATTGTGTTGCTCAAAACAAGTTGTCAAACAAATGTGATGATTACCTTGTCAATTAATATAATCATTTTTTTTAATTATGAAACAATATGTCTTTTATGTATATTATGTTATCTGTATTATTTCTGCATGTGAAATGTTAAATCAATAAACTCAAACTCAAACTCAAACTCAAACAATAATCTGTCAATGTATCTGCCCAGTATTTTGTGCAAAATTGCCACTGTGGCAAGCGAGCGTCCATGAAAACAGAGGAGAAAGCAATTGAAGGGAATAATCAAAGCAATCATACATGTACCTTGAACTGTGCTCCAACAGTGATCTTCTTGACTGTACCCTTAGGACCTCCTCTCTGTGATATCAAAACAAAATCACATGAATATAAAGAGTGAGTCAGAAAAAATGTCCCACTTTTTAAAAGTTGTGTGTGTGTCTGTCTGACTGTCTTTGTTCAATGCACTGTTTTATTCCTCACCCAGTAATTTGGCGCAAGTGAGATCTGGCAGTCTTGTAAAGATTGTCTGATGTTCAGTCATGCATGCAGAAATTCAAATAAAAATGGTACCTAATTGTACTGGGAAGATAACTCTACCAAGACATATCATGAAACCCATGATTAAATATTCATACTTCAAACGATACAACTTTTAAAAAGTGAGACATTTTTTCTGACTCACTCTGTATAGGCCAGGGTATTATGAAATAAGGGTATGATTAGAACAGAAGAAAATATATGATGCAATTAGCCTAGTTTATAATGAAGTTCAACATGATTTGTGCTCTCATTCGAAAACAGATACAGATACAGTATATGCCATCTGCACACAAAAAAATTAAAACAACATAAAGGGCTTAATGTTTGCAAGAATGGTAGATGAATGGCATGACACAATTTCTGTACAAAGCAAAATAATCTGGGCCTGTGACCTCAAGCACTGAGGATTTAAACACAATACAAGTTTATGTTTTTTAAATCTCCCAATGCAAAGTATTGAATCAAGAAATATACCAATAAGCAGCATCTTGTGCTACTTTTCTTGGCCTATTTTCATCTTTGAATCGTAAAAGTATGCCGTTACATTAATGTACAGTTATTTTTAACAAAACTAAGCTCACAAGTTAGCATGATTTTTAGTTGCATTTGAACTGGCAATTAATTAATGGTACATGTAGAACTGCTTGTTATTCAAACCATTTCTGCACTTGATCATGACACTCCTTGCAGCTACTCCCCTCACCTACCATCCCACTTTAGCTTCCTGAGTGAGCTGCTAACCAGATTACTCCATCACATATCAAGTACCACATCAACATACATGTACCGTAAACAATAATTCGGAAATACAAGTTGGTGTGAACTTCACAGATAATTGTCTGAGGAACTATATTTGTCACTTAACATACATCATATAACTGCATGTACCGGTATGCTGATTTTGCTAACCTTTTTGAGAGACTTCCTAGATCGTTTCTTGCTCAGCCTATTCTGTAGAGCTAGGGTTCCCGTCCTGGTAATGGTGCCTGCATGTATGAAATCATCAATTCTCAATTATTCATACCCTATTGTTTTTTTAAATGAATATATGTATTCATGAAATCATCAATTCTCAATTATTTGTACCATATTGTTTTTTAAATGAACATATGTATTCATCAAATCATGAATACTCAATTATTCATATCATATTGTTTTTTTAATTAACACAGGTATGTATGAAATCATAAATACTCAATTATTCATATCATATTGTTAATGAAATTGACATGGGTGTGCGCAATTTTTAAAGCCTAATTTGGCTTTTGAAGTGGAAACCCTTTCCATTTTCATTTCTTTAATTTTGTTTGTGCATTTTGTGCATGTCAGGTTTGTAACTGACTATGAGTAACCTACTTGTTTTTGTATATAGTAAGTATTTTTTTTTTTTTAACTAAGTTTCAAAAAAAAATTCCTCTCTCTGTATTTCATTTTGTTATTCTGTATCTTTATCATAATGTACATATTATTTTTGCCTTTTTAAAAATAAATTGGAAATAAAGATTTTTGAAGAATAAAAAACATGTATGCCATCATCATGAATAAAAAATCATATAAACCCATGCTATCTAAAGAATTGTTGGTATACATGATTAAGGAGTATTATTCCATAGCTATGAAGGGATGGGAACCAATGGAATGTGTACAAAATGGAATTTTAGGCAGACTAATATGATGAACCTAAAGTCGCACCTGTAATTAATCTTCAAGAAAACTGGCCATATCATGAATTGTAAGAAAAGTTTTGAGGTTGCAATACCCCTTTACATTCTTTTTGGAGGTTATCACATTACCGTTCAATAGTTACAAAAAAATTCATAGGGGTGCAAATATTAATCAATTTTTTTCTTCCATTGCTTGTATTTCTCATATACTGTATAACTTCTAATTGCTAGGATATCATGGGTGCCAGCACTTTATTACACCTAACCATAAACAGCGCCATCTATGTCCTAGCATGGCAGCACTTTCAGTCAGGATGCAATCATGCCTTTACTGTGGAAATTATGAATGCAAAGCTTATCAATAACAATTTCCACCTTACTTTAAGGTTTTATTCTCCTTGCACAATTTCAATAAGACAGATCTCATACCAATATTCAAGTCAATGGTGACAATTAAACAATCAATTGAATTGCAAGTCTGTAAAACAGAAAGCATAAAAAAAAACCTATGCAGCCAAGTCCAAGTTATTTTGTCCCATTTGTTACTTTAAGCACATGTAAGATGTCACTTTATCTGATCATTGTATGAAGTATTTAGCCCTTTTAGAGCTTCTATTCTATTCTATTCTATTTATCAGGCTATAGTTCATCCAGACATTTGACAAAGCCCTCCTCATATCATTTCCATTCTCTTCTGTCTCTAGCTATCCTAGTCCATGCGGCCGTTCCCATGTATGATGTTAGGTCATCTCTCCATCTTCTCTTCTGCCTTCCTCTTCTTCTCTTTCCCATCCTTGGTTGCCATTCTGTTAAATGATTTGTCCATCTATTGTCCTGAAGTCTTGCTATATGCCCAGCCCATCTCCACTTTGATTCTCCGACTTTCTCCATGATGTCTTTAACCTCTGTTTTCTTGCGTATGACTTGATTTTGTCCCGCAGACCAAATATCAAAATAGTTTTGATGACCATCTTTTTTCATTGTACCATCTGGTGATGCATGGGACACCACATGATCAGATACCCTGCTTACTTTAGGCAATTATTTGGTTGACAAACATTTCCATGAATCTCATTAATTTACAAAATTTTCAAGGATAGTGGTAAACAAAAATAATCAAAATAAAATGCAAGGTCGCAAAACAGATGGTATGTTTTGCGACCTTTTGTTGTACTGAGCGAGGCGGGAAGATTCGCTGGCAATTCGCTTGAAGATGTCGTTGACGAAGTTATAGAGTCATAAACGAGTATACAACAATGCACATGCACACAGGTGTTACAGTGCTTTAATGTATCAAGAGAGTTTCTTTTATGTAATGCATCTTCCTCCATAACTTTCACATTTGATACATCAAAGACATTGGCCCGAATTCACAAAGGAGGTTAAACTTTATCCCATGGTGGAAACCCTTATTTACATAACCCATGGTTTAAAAATTTGCGCAAAATAAGCGTACCTTGCCTTGCGTGCGTCTATATTGGGCCTCTGACTGTGTTGCGCTTGTGATGCGCTAATTATAGACCATGGATTATGTAGTACCGTACATGTAAATGAAGGTTTCAACCATGGGTTAGATTTAAACCTCCTTTGTGAATTCGGGCCATAGGGGGTGGGACTTGGGCTGCACTAAGGTTTAAGGGCATTAATAAAAAAAAAACTAGAACCAACCTCGGAATATGCGTGCTAGAAGGTCATTGCTGCTGTTCTGCAATATGGTTGTAACTCCGTTTGGAAGAGTATCCCTGTTCTTGTCCAAGAAGCCAGTAGCGTTGTAAGATACCTGGAAATATAAGAGTGCACGGTCTCAAGCTCAACAGATCAATAAAAGGATTTGATTGAGTTCTGCATGTCAATCTAATAATATAATATCTACAATACATTCAGCCAACGACAAAGCAATGCAATGACAGTCAGCGATTATTGTTGAATTATAGACTGGAAATTTTGTTTACCATTTACATCGAACACTGTATTTTCGAAGTAAACTATGTACAAAGAGTAAAACACTAAAATATACCCACTGTATGATCCAGTCAACGTAATAACATGAAGAAGGAATTCGACACTGAATATAGAGGCTTAAGCCTCCGTTCAAAAGAATCCATAAGTATCCATACATAAGTATATACTGGCATGCACTATGATGTATATATGTGCTTTAGTAAAGTTGACACAATCTAGTTAAGACATATTACAATGATTTTGTTTATAGTTGTACCAAATCTACATTTAGCATCAAAGATCTTTCGTTACCTTTATAGTGATTTAAAGATTCAAAACCTGTGAGACAGAATACACTTAAATACATGGTCCTGAATATAACATAGAATGCCACATACAAAACTAGAATTCTGTTTAAGTATGGATGTACTTTGAGATATATATAAATAAATGTAATGAAACAGTTAAAGAGGACTACTGAAATACATGAATGCTTACTAAACAGTGAGAGACTCATGAAAGCAAGAAAGCACAAAGCCCACCACCACTTTCAATAGAGCTTGAGAAAGAGAAATTGTGAAAAGATTTTGTTTAACAATAATAGCACGATGTTCATAACCATATATGATTTCTTACTACATACCAAGAGATGGATGGGTGAGAGGAGAAAGTAGAAAGCCCACCACCAGTTTCAAGAGAGAGTGGCAAATAGAAATATGAAAAAACATTTTTTGAAAAATGGTATGAAGTTCACTATAATGTGATTTCTTATTAAATATTTGAAGAATGGGGAGAGGAAGAAGGGCTAAAGTAGAATGCCCATTACTATACTTTCCACAGAGCTTGAGAAAGAAAGATGAATACAAGACTTGAATAGCATGAAATAGGTAACATGTCTGCTGAGAGAAAGTAGGTCTTAAAGAGAAGGTTGAGTTCTGGGGAAAGGTGAAAAATAAATTCACACATACCGTAACCCAACAAACATTACACTGAATGTTCAAGATTACAAATAAATGACATGTGCCACGCGATTTTGGTAGAAAATGTATAGGGGCTGGCTGAGTAATGAGCATAGAAAGATAAGGAAATTCAAGGGAAGTAGGCCCGACACCACGTGCTTAACACAGGTCACTATGTGTAAATGAGAGTTTTGGTTTTTATTGAAGATGATTTCCAGCAAGTTTTTGGGAGTTTTTTTTATTTTACTGGTTCAAACAATCAATCTACTGCAGGATAAACAATCCAGAATGAATTAAAGCCATGCATTCTCTTGACATATGATGCCCATACCAGAGCTCAAGATTAGCTTTAAATCACATGCAATGTACTATGAATCAAGTGTATGCAATACATATAATAGAGTCCAGTTGGGAACCTAAATTTAACATATTTCAAATGAACTGTACTTGCTTTGTTTTCTACTCTTTGTATTTCGACATTTGTATGTAGATTCATCCACATTTCACATACATTAACCCTAAGCTTACAAGAACCGAGTGGCCTATGGGAGTGAATGAATTCAGTATTCAAATAATCAATCATATATTTTGTGAAAACAGTAAAAGACACACATACATGTATCTACCAAGTATAAATTCCTTTCTATCTTTATTTGGTACGTTTTGTTTAATTCTTCTATTAAATCATCTTTACTTTTGTTTGTCTTTTGTGACAACAGGATTAAATGAGCAAATATCCCTTCCAGCAAAGTGATTGGTACTGAATGTATTACTGGAGGAGATCTTTGCTTTGATGAAATGAAGATTATGAGCAAAATGCTGAGTATCAAGTTCTATGCATTTAGCAAGTGTTAATCAATTTTCCTCAATATTTTTCATGTTTGTCTTTGTTGAGCAATGTGACTATAAGACATAATGAATGATTGAATGAATAGAAGTTGAGATAGAAGCACAATCTTACCCTTCCGGCGTAGTGATCAATACTGAATGTATTACTGGTGGAGATCTTTGCTTTGATGTAGTGATGATTACGAGCAAAGTGTTTATTCATCTTCTCCACCAAGCTGTGATCATTACCCTGGCATAATTCAAGAACAAAAAATTGTCAAGAAGGGAAGAAAAGGGAAGAAAATTCACTCATATCATCCCATCATTTGTCCAATGTCTGTTTAGATACCTGTTAATAAAAAGCTCAGGTATCGAATTATAATGCGTTTGCCACCATCTATAGCGGGTGGATCAAGGCATAAAAGGAAATGAAAACATTAAAAATATTTGATTTGACAAACTTGCAGCCTTTCCTGTAAGTAATTATTTCCTAAACATTCTATTCATCCTTCACTCAAGGCATATTAATAAGTAACATAACCAATTCAAACTGAACTCAATCTTTATCTTGTTATAAGATTTTTCCATTACATTCTTACATCTAAGAAACTTCACAGCTCTAGCAACAAATATTTTGATTTAAACACTTTTAACACTCGTGACAAGATATTGGCAAACGATGTTCTTTTTGGCAGACTTTTGGCAGGTTTAAAGTGTACAATAAAATGTCCTACTATTAAAATGGCGAAGTTAGACTTTTTGTAACAATTTGTGTAGTTTGTAATATTGTTTGAAATGATTTTTAATTTGAGCAAGCTGTTGGGGAGCTTACCTGAGGGAAGAGGGTTTCTTCATCCACAAGAGCCAAGATACCAATTGGTTTGGCCATGAAAAGACCCTGCATGATACAAATAAAAAATATTTAAAAATATGAAGTAGTAACTGTGAACAGTATTGCATTATGTGTATGTTTATTTTTATGTAGATGTGCAAAAATGTTTATCTTAAAACAATCTTCATGAATTATAAATAGCATGTGATAAAGACTAGACAAACATACAAATTACACATCTATAGTGGAGTTATTTCATGATTTGTTATCTCTCTATTTCTTTTTCTGTTCCTGTAACAAATCAAATAATCATGTACATGTAGTAAATGTTTATAAAATAAATCCAAATTCAAATTGAATATTAATTTACAGACAAATATTGTCCAGTGCATTTATGAATAAATATCATGTCTTTATATGCACTGGGCCTGGAACCATTGCAAGTTTCCAAGTATGTTTATATCACTACTCTAAATTTTTTTTCTTTATTTTCCAAACCACATTGGATTCAATATATTATCTGCTTATTGCATTCTACTTTTTTTAATAAAGAAATTTAACAACAACTTTACTCATTCTGATACTACTACAGATTTGATGCAACAGAAGACATGATTGATTAATCAATGGCATAGACACATCAAAATTTGTAAACATGTTTTTTTGGCTGCAATGTTAGCAGGTGGGTGTCATTAGGTTGCCATGGTTACTTACCAGGAGTGGTTCATTGTTAACGAATGGGATGTTGGACCAATCAATGCCTTCTCTCTTGTACTCGTCCTGTTCTAACAGGAAAATATGCTGCAAAGAAAACAATGATAAGAGCTCATCTTAATTATTATAATAATAATAAATAAAAAACGGTGCTGATAAATCACTTACCACCAAAGTCTCTAAGCGCTATAACAAACAAAATACAATGATAAACAATTACATATTAAACAAAACAAAAAGAAAAATGCAAATAAACTTATAAATTACAGTACATGAGAAATATACATCAATGTGAACAGAGTAATTTAATCATCAAAAGCAATTTTGAATAAATGTGTCTCAAGACAAGTTTTGAATTGGTTAACAGTCTGACAGTTTTATGGTTGTATTTACACATACATATTGAACACATTTGAGTATGCAACTGTACACGTTCTATAATTCAGAGTGATGATATTATAATACTTCTAACATAACAAAGTTATTTTGTGCAAATATTAAAACAGTGAACGTTACAATTAGATGAAGGTTCAGACGAAGGCATCTAGAGCTGAATTTGCTGACTTTGATGAGGATGATTTTAATTGATTTAATTTGCACTAAATATATACACCGACTACATAAATATAGAACAAAAATGATATTTTGTTTTTGTTGTTCATGCAATTTTACTAACATCATCAATGTCATGGAGGTAACCGGATGTATTGTTTTAAAATATATCTAACAGTTTATGCATGTCTTTACAATCTTCATTACAAACCATAACCTCAGAAGTTTGTCATTTAAATATTAAAAAAATCAATTGACGGCCATCAAAGTGACAGTACCGCATTTGTACTTTGTACACAAAGTCATGCAAGACTAACAGCGATAATTGGTTTCAGCCCACAGCAAATACACCTATGCAGTCATGCAGATAAAAGGATTTGAACAAGTAATGTGGCCCTGAATGCAGTGGAAAAACAAGAATAATAATGATAGCCACAGAAGGTTTTAATGCAAGAGTGACTTCATAGAAATTGAATAAATGGATGGGAGCTTTTGACTGATTATCGCAACCTGGTGGTATTAACAGATCTACATGTATGTATGCATGACCGACAGGATATTTGATATTGCTAGGCTAGGTTATTAATATATGACAGACTGCTAGAATTACATAAAAGAATAATGAGAATGATACTGGATGCACAAATGCAAACTCATATAGTTGAAATGTTTACTGTTTACTACGAATGATTAGTAATATTTGTTCACTATTCATTTTCTTGACACAAGATTGCAACTTTTGTAATCAAATTGCTTTTCCCTCCACAAAACTATCCCTCCACTAACCACAAATAGTGTGGTTAGGTTCCGTTTTAGGTCATTGTTTTTCGGGTATGAGTTGTTGTAATATTTGTTTGATTTTGGTTTTGGTTTATTTGTCTTTTTCTTTTTTCTTTTTTCGTTAATTTTTAATGAAAGCCTTTGAATTCGACTTCAATAAACAAAAACTAATAAAATAAATATAACCCTTGAGTAAATACCACTGTACACATCACTGAAATATAACAAAAAAATAACCAATAAACAAATAATAATATAAGAATGGCGATGAAATCAATATGCAAGGGCAAGGACAAGGACAAGGACAAAATGGTGTAATGCATCAGCAGTAATAGTACCTATTGTTGGTATTCAACAATCAAATTGCTCAACAAGCCTTTCAAGGATGGGTCATGTAAGAAATGAGTCATCATCTCTTTACAGTAAAATTCATACCCTAATAACCTTGTACTTGTTTCTACCAAATTTGGATTAAAAAACTACAGTGAAACCTGTCTGTAAAGACCACCCAAGGGAGACAAGAAAAGTGGTCTTTATAGGCAGGTGGTCTTTAATGTACAGGTTCCTTTACTAGTACATGTTTCAGTGAGAAACCATTTTTTGAGGAAAAAATAAAAAATGTGGGCTTTGTAGACAGACTGTCTTTCTATCAGATACTGGTGGTCACTAAAGCAAGTTTGACTGTATTTTTCAGGAAAGGACCTTCGGATAGCAAGCCCCTGTGTAAATGATGGAGATTACTAACATATGAAATATGACTCACTACCCATGAGCTGTCTTAAACTGAGGGTAAAATACTTAGCCAAATGCTTCAACTTGAATGTCAAGGTTGGCTAAGTATTAAAAGCCCAAAACTTCGTAAAATATTCATATTTCTGACATAAGTATTAAATTGAATCCTATATCAGCCAAAAACTTTGTAAAATACTCATATTTCTGACATAAGTATTGAATTGAATACCCGCCCAGGCTCACAACAGAATATATATACATGAATGTAATACCTGATTGAAGAAGAATTGGAGCTGTTCGTTGGCTAGGTTGATACAAGCTTGCTCAAAGCTGTTTGTCTGTAGGTGCTCAAACCCAAAGATATCCAGAATACCTGATAAAAAAAACAATCACAACTCATATTCAAATTCATTTATCTCCAGATCACTTTACAAAATATATAATTTGCTATAATTCATGCAACAGACAGCAAATATACAAAGTCAAATCACATAACAATGTATTCTACTCTGTATCATACATTAACTTCAATTATATACCTCACTTTAGAAATCCAGCCATCTGATTGGTCGAAATTGGAGTCATGATTTTAGCAATTCCCGTAAAATGCCAAAACCTTTTGAAAAAAGCCCTAGGGCATTTTTCAAAAGACTATTGACCGGTTTTGGCACTTTACGTACATGTATATGCGTGCAATCTCAAAGGGAAGGATTTTAGCACAAAAACTTGAGTGGTGCGCAATCAGACTAATTAAGACTAGGTCTTGATAACATAAACAAACTTGATTACCATGATTGGTAAGTCCCACATGTATTTTATGACACTTTTCGGTATATAAAAGTTATAATGACTGCTTTAATATTCGAGGCATATTTGTTTTTATATGCTTACATGATCGCTCTATCACCCCTCGGCATGCCTCGGAGCGATCGATAGCACGATCATGCAACCTCCCCTTGGGCGTAGAAAAACAACTATGTCTTTCATAGCAGTCATTATTACTATATTATTATTTCTGAAAAGAAATATTCCAAGTTTAAAACCTGAAATTACACTTTTAACATATGTGTACATACATATACATGTACTAGTAAGCTACATGACACATCTGGGCTCTGTCTTATAAAGAGCTGCAAACAATTTGGATCAATCGCAAGTCCTCTAATCAATCGCAAGTTTGCAGCCTCTGATCTCTTATTTACATAGTTGCGATTGATATCAATTGAAAATAAGTTGCAATTGATATCATATTGTAAGATGGAGCCCTGTATACACATGCAACTCAACTGTCTTTTGCGCTGGTTATGATATGAACTAATCCCTCCCCCCCCCCCCCCAATGCTCTTTGAGCCTGAACTTGACTTTGCAATATCTCATTTGGATGAATTTATGTTTCCAATATACAAATGATTTCATTTTTAATTTTGTTTTCTATGAATATATACTGCTCAGTTGTAGAGCAGTGGTTTCCTAACTGGAAGGTCCGGGGTTCGAAACCAGGCAATGAGCTCTTGCCCTCCGTCTTAATCTTCAAGCTGTCGATCCCCTGGTTACTTACTTACAAGCATAAACATGCTTTCTTTATAGCAGTCAGGTCAAACAAACCAGCCAACAAAATATAAGTTTTTGCAATTTTTATTGGTGTCCTGTACATGTCCTATTCCAGTCATACATTTATGATTGAGATATGTTTAAGCCCCTCTACACTAGTTTGGCATGGAGGGATTAGACCTCCCTGCAAGGTCACTGGCAGGTGGTTATCTCATTAAATCAGCTCTCAATTAACATGAGAAAAATCATGGGGGATCAACGGGGTACCGCTTAGGCATTGTTGGCTGTATAGAGGGCGCAAGTAGCTATAAGTAGTGCAGTGGGGCTTTAATCTCTTACCTATCTCACTAGCCTGGCTAGGATCAAGTTGTTCTTCTGGAGCCAGTAGCTGGTTGATCTTGTTGACAATCCAGCTGAAGAGACGGCCATACAGGGCCTTCGTCATTGCATCTCGGGCATCTGTATGAAGTTTAATTTCACCCTATTTTATTTTAATTTACATGCTATCGCTACAATGTATTTCTCTTTAATCATGTATAAGTCTTAATGTCAAACTGTATCATATTTACTTTGTATTACATCTATTTGAATTTTCTATGATGTAAATTCCACTCAATTCAAATGCTGAGCTGCCATGTGGATTTAAATAAATACCCTTTTAAATCAAATCTAACATTCATATACATTTAATAACAATGAGGACAATGATGGTGATGATGATAATGATAGTAATAACAACAACAACAATAGTAACAATCGTAACAAAATGATGTGCGTGTTTCTTGGAACATACTTAACACTAGTATTTAAGTATATAACTATTGATGGGATTTGGGTGAAAAATGTGTGAAGAAAAGTCTTCTTCTGGTGCTATTTTTAAATTTCTAATTAATTTTAAATTTTCAAGATGAAAGATAAGCACATGTAAACAGGAAGACCATACTTTTTCATAAATGCATCATTCATAGAGAGATAAGAGGCCCTATCCAATAATTATTCTTAAAGATATTATGCAGCAATAAATTTATGAAGGAAACAGGAAGAAAGTTTCCCTTGCTGTACAAGTTATGGTGAATAAGACTGCCATAGTCCATGGCTTTTTATAAATCATCACAATTTTTATGAAAGCACATGTACATTAATTTTTAAGATATTATGCAGCAACAAATTTAAGTAGGAAAAAAGAAGTTTCCCTTGCCATACAAGTTATGGTGAATAAGACTGCCATAGTCCATGGATTTTGATAAATCATCACAATTTTTATGAAAATGCTTAGCATGTCTGTACTGACCGTGAGCTTGTGCTTTGGAATAGTTCCTCTGAAACCTCTCCCCATGCGCCACACTGGTGGTGTAGGTCAAGGCGGACATCAGGTCTTCCTTAGCAATCCCTAGAAGATCCTGGCAAACAAATCGTCAAGAAATAAATGAGTTTTGATGGATTAGATTAGAGCTAAGAATACAGAAAATCTTCTTAATAAGCAAAAGCAATCCTTTTGCAAGTGCTATCAATCATATCATCAAGAATCAAATGAGTTTTGATTGACCAGATTAAGAATGCATTATGCAATCTCTTTGCAAGGTCATGATAATCATACCATCAAGAATCTTACAAAGCTTTGGATGACTAGGGCAGAGCTCAAAATGCATGGGGGCAGGGGGCAAGTAAACCCTCTCTCTGGAGTGATGAAACAACCTCTAGACACCATCCAAATAGTTACATACTTGATCTAGATTTTAAAATTTGTAGGAGTTGAAGACACAATTTTGTTCTAGGATTTGTTCTTAGTCCCACATCATTACCTTTATAAATGTTTTAGTCAAAATAATAATGGGGGATGCTGATTCTCACAGCGTTATCCAACTTGCTTTGACACTTCATGTGCTGTTCATTATTCAATTGTGCGCTAGTAAAATGGTGACTTGCCTGAATGCTCCCCAGGGACTGGAGAATGTGCATACATTGTGTGCAAGTAAGCCTGAATCCGATGACTGGGGTAATAATATATCTGTAAAGCGCTTAGACACATCTAATATCAATGTATTGGGTGCTATATAAAACCGGAATATTATTATTATTATAATTTTCTTCTATGGTCTTACCCCGACTTTCTGAGCAGCCTCAGGATTCGTGACGTATGCTGCATCCTCCTCGTTAGCCTCTATCTTCAGCTGTCCTAGAGCTAGCACGCTGGCTAGAATATGAAACATGTCTTCTTTCTCCTGTCATAAATAACAACAACAATACAGTCAGACCTCCCGAGCTATAAAGTTGTCTAAAATATGTAATAAATGGACCTTAAAGATACTATGTCCCTTCTGCAGCCAACATCAAATGCTGTAGAACTTTAGAGGAATTATGAATATGTCATGTAAGCGTTAGCCGTGTCCTAATATTCAAATTATGCAAGGAAACCTGTTTACTTGCTAGACTTCACTGTCAGACACTACTGAGTGACTGACTGGGTTTTTTCTTCTTTGGTAATAACATACATAAAATGAGCTGTAAAGGGTACATGAGCATTTGTCTACATCAATACCCCACTTCTTGTAATGGCCAAAATTAAACTGATTGAATCTTTGCGCAGCATAAAACGTACGATCATTCGGTACAATGGTCTGAAAATCAGACAATTACTTACAGGCTCTATAGCTCTTAAAGGTATTATGTCCCTTTTGCAGCCAACCTCAAATTCTGTAGAACTTTGCAGGAATTATGAATATGTCATGTATGTCCTATCTGTGAAATTTAAACGTTAGCAGTGTCCTCATATTCAAATTATGCAAGGAAATCCGTTTACTTGCTAGACTTCACTGTCAGACACTATTGAGTGAGTGACTGGCTTTTTTTCTTCTTTGGTAATAACATACATGAAAAGAGTTGTAAAGGGTACATGAGCATTTGTCTACATCAATAACCCACTTCTTGTGATGGCCAAGATTAAACTGATTGAATCTTTTGCGCAGCATAAAACGTATGACCATTCGGTACAATTGTCTGAAAATTAAGACTATTACTTTTGGGCTCTATAGCCCTAAAGTCGATTTGACAACTAATAGTCGTTATTTTCCCACTTGAAGACATTTTCAAGCCTTACCTTTTTTAGGGAAGTTCTAAATTAGTATTATCTTTCAAATGCAGTTGGAATTATATTTTTCATTTTTTTTGGCCTGCAAATGGGACATACATGTAGTACCTTTAAGTCGATTTGACAACTAATAGATAGATAATGATGCAATAATAGATGTTATTGATAACAAGTTTTATGAAATGGTTCCTGGTGTGGGTAACCACAGTGTTATGCCTCTCTCTCTCCCTCTTAAGTAATCTCTTTCCTAAATAATCATTTGATTTAAATTGCTGAACTAAATCACAATTTAAACAAAAAGACAGATGTGAAAACTTGTTATGATTATTCTTCAAAATGGAATGAAAATCAAGCAATACTGGGTCTGGTTTTATAGCAGACTAAAGGTATTATTGTTCTGACCTCTTCCAAGAAGCCCACTAGGTCCATGGCATTAATGAGCTCATCAAAGTACTTCTTCAGTCCAGCTGGATTGTTCTTCAGACAAGATGGGCCATTCCGTAAATACCTGGAAAAAACAAAGATTACATGTAGCTTTATTGTATTCTTTAATATTATCTGTAATGTTACCCTTCTACATGTATTTATGCATTTAATTTTTATTTATTTATTTATTTTTTTTTTTTTTTTTTTTTTTTTTTTTTTTTTTTTTTTAATTTATTTATTTATATTATTATTATTATTTTTTTTTTTTTTTTTTTTTTTTTGGGGGGGGGGGGGGGGGGGTTATACTCTGTAGGTATTGTTTTTTTATGAAAAATGGAATAAATACCATACCATACCAATTTCACATGAGAAGCCATGGAAAGTGTGTGTCATTTATGGAGCAAGGAAAACATAAAGAATCATTAAAAAGTGAATCACTTTCTCAATGATGCAATGTATTATGTCAAAAACATACACGATATCTCAATACTATATATGGATCTGTTGAATCACAGATGTGATTTACACTCATAATAATAATAAGATATTTCTATACCGCAATTTGCATATAAAGTGCCTCTAAGTGGTTTAGAATGAAAATAGTTAAGTAAAGGTAACAGAATTGCATTACAAATTACAGCAAATAATTACATTTTTAACATATTCAAATTCATATATTTTTTAGATTCATTTTCAATTGGAAGATGCATACATCATACACATGGCATTCTATACATGCAGAATCTCCAATCTCTTTCAAGCTAGGATACATGCATATGACTTCCATCTACCAAAATTCACTAACTCATTTTTTGCGAAATAAATCAATTAGATATCAAGGTCCTCATAAATGGAACTCCATGTAAGTCATTAAAAGGGTACGCGTTAAGAACCACAACACATTTAAACTTAGATTGAAAAAGAACAATTTGCCACTTATTGATTTATTGAAATACATAATTGAGTCATATATTTTGTTAGTATGTAACATTATTAGTATTGTATTGTATTGTATCGTATTTCATTGTATTGTATTGTATTTGTATGTATTTATTAAGGTTTGGGGTTGCTTGTTTACAAGTTTTAAATTTATTTTAGCAATCCTGGTATTTGTTATGATTTCATTTGTAATGATTTCATTTTGATTTGTATCTATTGCCAACTGAATGTGAATTGAATATGTGATTGGATGGTGATTGGGTTTTTGTGGTTTTGGGGTAGTTGAATGCATAATTATGCCATGATAAGCGAGGGGAAGCACTACATGAAACACACCTTTGCATACATAATGTATTGTCTGTTTGGAGCCAGAAGGCCATTAAATAAACACTTCCAACACAGAGTTAACGTCCCTTTGGCTTTGAACATATGATACGGTTGACTGGTAGTACCAGCATATACATCTTAATAAGCAATCATAAGATGACTTTGTTAAGCCTTGATTGCTATTGTTTGAAACAAAAAGGGCATCTGCATGTAGCACTGCAAGCCATGTGCTTGTAACAGCAGCATAGTAGGCTTAAAGGTAACTTCTAAAGTACATGAAGACATCATTTCATATTACAAAATATTTTCTGTTGTTATTGTTATCATTATCATCACCACAATTCTCATCATCATTATCATAACCACTACCATCATAATCATCACCATCCTTATCATTCTCATTACCAAACACATCATTATTATTATTATCATCATCACCATCACTATCATCATTATCTATAATAAGTATTATTATTGTTTCTCCTCCTCCAGATCACCATCAGCAAAATCATCCTCATCATCTTCATCATCAGAGACATTATCATCATCATTATCATCACCACAATCACCACTAATTATTAATACCATTATCATCATCATCGTCTTCAACATCATTATCATCATCATCACCACTATCCTCCTCCTCCTCCTCCTCCCCCTCCACCCCACCTCCTCCCCCTCCCCCTCCCCCTCCTCCTCCTCCTCCTCCTCCTCCTCCTCCTCCTCCTCCTCCTCCTCCTCCTCCTCCTCCTCCTCCTCCTCCTCCTCCTCCTCCTCCTCCTCTCCTCCTCCTCCTCCTCCTCCTCCTCCTCTCCTCCTCCTCCTCCTCCTCCTCCTCCCCCTCCTCCTCCTCCTCCTCCTCCTCCCCCTCCACCCCCACCTCCTCCCCCTCCCCTCCCCTCCTCCTCCCCTCCTCCTCCTCCTCCTCCTCCTCCTCCTCTCTCCCCCCTCCTCCTCCTCCTCCTCCTCCTCCTCCTCCTCCTCCTCCTCCTCCTCCTCCTCCTCCTCCTCCTCACTACTCACAGATAATCTGAAGCGTTCTCCAGCTGTAGCTTCTTCTTCATCTCCTCATCCAGCCCAGCCAGCATGTAATAGAAGATGTGGAAGTTCTCTTCTCCTGGATTCTGGAAGACCACCCGGGACTTCTCCAAGAGGTACTCTGAGATCTTGGCTCCCATCACTAGGATTGAGAAAGATTTTATTGAATATCATCCATTCTCGCAGTCCACAGACTGAATTGCAATGGTTACAATGTTTTACAATATATATATACATGATAAAAGCAATTATACAATAATTATTAAAACAGTCTAGGCAATCAACATTGAAATTCAAATAAAAGTGATCAAATGACAATAATAATGGCAACTATCATTAAGTTTGATTTAATAATAAGCAATGAAACATTCTAAAAATATACTATTGAAATTAACATCAAAACCATTACTATTACAAACTTGGCATGCCAAAGGTTTGATTTTGTGTCATTGGTAGAAAATATTGGAAATATTGGAATTGAATTTCATAACAAAACAAAACGTTAGTGGAAATGCAATGACAATTGGGATAATCATACCTGATGATGATAGTGATGATTACTGATGATTAATGTTAATACAAGTTTGATTAGCTCTATCATTAATCATACATTTGTGGAGTATAGTCATATGTTTTCACACTAAATAATCTATGTTTAAATATAGCATACCCCTTATCATTAAAACAAAAATTCCCAAAGCCTCAAATCGATTGTAAAACTGTTATTGATTAAACTCAGTTGAGATAGAAACATAAGATCACAATTTTTATTAAAGTTTTGACCAGTCAGAGGCCTGGAATTCAAATGCTATAATTTGCGTGGTAAAAAGATTGTATTAAGGATTAATTGATGCTGATTATATATTTACCTGTTCCTTGCTTGAATTTGAGTTGGATGTATTTTCCAAAGCGACTGGAATTATCATTCATGACTGTTTGAGCATTGCCAAAAGCTTCTAACAGGGGGTTGACCTGAGAAAATGTTTCAGAAAATCAGTAATAATGTAACAATAAAAATAATTATGATGATAATGATCATGACCATGGTATAATAAACTAATTAAAGACCATAAAAACAAAGAAAATTCTAACTAAAATTCAGCAAAGAGGAAGTTTTATGATTTTCATAAATAGCCTGTTTCCAAATTAAGATCATAATGAATTTAGTATACAGCTCATCCATTAAAAAAAATCTGTTATCGTAAAATGATGGAATTTTTGACATTATAATAAATGTTAATGTATTATTCTTTTCTATTTTTTTCTTCTTTTGCATTATTTTGCCATTTTCTTTCGGTGTGAATCTGAAGAGTTGTTCATTCTGTTAGATTTCAATCAGCAAGTTGTAAGATTTAGATATATCCCACGACAATAACCTGCACTATATGACAAAAACATAAAGCACTAACAACAACAAAATAGACAAATAAATGTACATACTATTGGTAGTAGGACAAAGAGATAAAAATTGTAAACTGATAATATAAAAAGTATAGATTGCATACCTGTAGGATTTGTTGTTCGAGCTGAGATTTGCCCTTGCATAGTTCAATGAGTTGTTTAATGATGAGTTTGGTACTCTCTGTCTTCCCTGCTCCACTCTCCCCACTGTCAATATCAAACAGAATTGTCTAGTATCAATCATCATAAAACACTATAATAAGTAGAATATGCAGTCATATAATATACATGTCCTGCCAGGCCCACTCTCCCCACTGTCAATATCAAACAGAAACGTGTCTGAAGCTCTATACATTAGAGTTCCAAGCCCCAGCCCCCCCCCCAGTCCCCTTTCCCCTTTCCCTCTCTCTCTCTCTCTCTCTCTCTCTCTCTCTCTTCCTCCTCCTTCTTCTTCTTCTTCTTCTTCTTCTTCTTCTTCTTCTTCTTCTTCTTCTTCTTCTTCTTCTTCTTCTTCTTCTTCTTCTCTTTTCTTCTTCTTCTTCTTCTTCTTCTTCTTCTTCTTCTTCTTCTTCTTCTTCTTCTTCTTCTTCTTCTTCTTCTTCTTCTTTCTCTCTACATGTATCTACTCTTTCTTGAACTTTTACAAATTGTTATAATGATAATAATAATAATTAAATGTTTGTGTAAAGAGCATAAGACAGATGATAGAACAGAGATGTACATGATACACTTGGTTCATAATTATGATATCTAAGTACAAAGTGCTAAATAGATATATTTTCAAATTACTTCTGAAATGTTCATGTTTCTACACCTGTATATTTCTAAGGTATTCTGACAAATTATTCCATAAAATAGTGGATGCATATAAAAATGACCTTCTAAGTTTCTTTTTCTAATTAATATTTTATATTTATGTATACATAGTGATTTCAAAAAGCTATTTAGGAAAGGGGAGAGAGATAGATAGAATCATTTGTATTCTTAATAATGATTAAGATTATAAAACATATAAGGGTGTTAAGTGACAATAAATAATTATTGGAAGATTCAATGCCCTTCTAGCATTCAGCAAGTGATACATGTACCTTTCATGCAGAATACTTTTGATTTTCATGGATTAGGTTTTTAAATAGCACTTTTGTCCAGGGCACTTTTGTAATACAATGAGAGAATTGATGCTCAAAAATATTACCATGGTTACGTAAAAACAATGGAAATTAGTTATTACATGTACCTAAATCACATGAATCAAATAAATGAATACACATGTATTCAAGAAGAGGCTTACATGTACTTGTCTCATACAATTAATCAAGTAGAAATCTTCTGAAATACAGCCCTGCTACAGTATACTCTCCATGATTTCTAATATTGCACAGAAGACCGATCTATCGTCGCGCTTGTTTCGTGGGCGAGGGCAATTATAACGACTGGGTCATAAATAATGTATCTGGGTAGCGGGGATTGTAATCCAATTTCAAACCTCTCTCTCTCTCTCTCCCTCCCACTCTCTCTCTCTCTCTCTCTCTCTCTCTCTCTCTCTCTTCTCTTGGAGAAAGAAGTATCAATTATTGATTGCTCACAACTATATTCTCATTGAATCCTTTGGTGATTAGAGTCCTGGGTATCGTTTCACTAAAAATGTCATTAGTACAGGTTCAACAACACTTGTTTCAATGAGATGTCGACAAACTTTGAGAAAATGATGCCCTGTGTACTTCATACATGGACGTTGAAGGACATCACAGATCAAATTTATTCCATTTGATCAATTGTTTAATATTCAAACTATCCACGTTCATCCCCTCTGCCAATTAAAACTAATATATGGATTCAATAATCATGAGGATACGGTTTTCTCATTCTAGATCTACTGCATAGATGAGAGATTTGGGGTTGTGCACTCTACCATTGGCAATATGTTCTTTACATGGGGTTACCATCGTTGAATAAAACGTAGTAATATATTACAAATCATTGGATAAAGATTGCTGAATGACGGAGCAAAGGCATCAACCAATGTGACATAGATATTTGGTCTTGTGGTCTCATCTTTTTTCCATCCTTTTGGGGTTAAGGTTAAGATCAGGAGGGTGTTTCACAAAGATCCTAAGTCAAACTTAACTCTAAGTTGGACTTAAACATTATGGAGAGCCATTTGTAGCCTTAAAATAAAATATATTCCAAAGCAAACTATTTTAGACTTTTCATAAATTCCGCATCAAGAACATGAAATCTCCTTGATAATAGAAAATATGAATGATCTGAATCAACATTTTATGCCTTTTACAAAATATTTTCAAAGATGCAAACGACTTTCCATAATTGTTTAGTCCAACTTAGAGTTGAGTTCAACTTGTATGAGCAATGAGACATACAATGTACAAACAGCTTGATGTAATTAAGACTGTATATTCTGTTGATAGTCAAAGAGGTGTTGATTGAACTCTGCTTTAAAATTTATTCTTCTGATGCTCAGCAGACGATGCCAGGTTAACAGTCTATAACCTAATCTAAGACTTGACACTACCAGGCGCCCGGGACACATGGGCGCCCAAAATCTCAGTCCAGAGTCTAAAAATTTTACATCAGGCTTGTGCATACAGACTCAATGACAATAATAATGATAAAAATAATATTAAGTTTTTCTACTGCGCGTTTTCTAATATCATACCACTCAAGGCACTACAATGTATGATAAAAAGACTCTACAATTTTACATCTGGACCCCCTTCTAAACGAATTAGTGTAGAGCCATGCCTAATCCAACAAGACATGGCACTACATGGAACATTTATATCATCTGTTAAAGATAAACTTTAGTACTGGTAATGCGATTGCATTGTGAAAGAAAAGGTGAGAAAAGGTGTGGAAAGGATCAGAAACAGTTAATCATGTAGCATGTACATGTAAGTATTGGTGTGCACTGCAAGGTTCTGGAGTCATCAAAATCATAATAAATTTGACCGAGTCTTGGTAAAGTAACATGCACTGTACACAGAAAGCTATATATGGGACAACACACATGGTGTTGGGGCTACTACTACCTTGATTTCCTTGTCTTTCTATGCTCATTACTCAGCCAGTATACATTTTCTTCCAAAATTGTTTGGCACATGTCATTTATTTGTAATCTTGAACATTCAGTGTAAGTTTTGTTTGATTCTGTGAGAATTAATTTTCTTTTTTTTACCAGAACTGGAGTTTATCTTTAAGAGTACAGAAGGATGCTAGTTTAACGCTGAATACATGAGTTAATACCCTTCTGACTCTCTGCAGATGATGCAATGTAAAGATTCTTGCCAAAGAAGAAAAACATACTGCTAAAATGATCTTTTTTGGGAGAAAAAAAATAAACTAAAATATGCTGTGGAAATAGTCTATTCAATATTTTTCTCATACAATCCCCATTTGTCATTTCCTGAGTCCACGTGGCGGCAATTTCGAGAAGAAAAAAAGTGGCGGCCATCTTGAAAAAATAACAAGGCCAGACGTCTAGGAAAATGTGCCATTTTGAAGAAGAAAAAAAAAAGGGCCTCCTCCTACCTCTTTTTCAAAAAGGCAGGACACTGAAGATTTTTTTAATTTCATTTTGCCTAATCGACCAACAAGGCACAGGACTACATGTGTATCATCTCGTCAGAGTCAAAAGGGCATTGTGCATGAGTTGACGCCCTTCTGGCACTACGCGGACGATGCCAGCTCTTACCTGATGACGATACATTGATTCCTCTTTCCTCCTACCGCATTCCCTGAGAGCATGAACTGATAAGACAGGTCTGATACAGCAAAGATGTGAGGGGGGTTATCTTTACGTTTGGTTTGCTTGTACTGATCTGCGTACTGTCAAGACACAAAACAAAATCAACAAATCAAAATGACATGTTCTTCAGCATCAGCATCAGTGTACGGAAGTAAGAGGTGATCCTGTTAAAAGTTCCGGTTGTTTCATCGAGTGGTGCGCGTTACCCTGAAATATTATTACTTGCATGGTGGATGGATGAACATATTTAATTTTATGGAAGCATTTGGTGTTGAGAGGACCAGTGCCTGTCCAATCTTTTAGCCATAGTTTATCCATTTCTAAATCATGTTGTCCTATCTGCTGTGTTCCGTTACTTGTTAGAATTTGTGTACATCCAGAAAATAAAATCTCGTCTTTTTTTAGGAATGCTTGATAATGAGAATTGGGCGCTCATTCAGACTCTTAAACACATGCAGATGGTGGAATAAAAATGCCTATTATTCTCATTATCAAAATGCACAAAGTAAAATTTTCAATGCTTAGAGAATGCGATTGCATTCATGTAATGATAACCTAACTTTATGGCAAGTACTATATATTCAAAGACCAAGAAAAATATCTGCCTTAATATTACCTAAATAGGTCAATAAATAGATGCAAATGAATTGACGTCAAATCACTCAAACAAAATCATTCCATATTCCAAGAATGATCTTAGTGAATATGCCAAACTTTGTTTTCCTTCATACAGTGTATTTCAAATTAAGAACAACAGAAGAAAAAAGTCATTCCATTTCTTTGATATATCAGTATAATAAAACAGGCACACAATTTAAAGTCAGTATGATTTTGGGGTCATCAAAGACCAAGATATAAACAAACCAAAGCCTAAGAAATTAAGTACCTTCTGTCCATAGATGCCCAAGTCACGGAACGGGTTGATGGCGACCAGGATATCTCCAACATAAGACTGGAAGAAAATTTGAGATTGAACAAAAGAATTAGAAGATAATATACACGCGTTCTTGTTTAATTACTTCCCTGGATCTTTTCTCTTTATAACTATACAATTAATGATATAGACTGTATTTGTCAAGAAAGGAGAAGAAAAATCTGTACAAGAAGAAAATAAAAAGAATGAGAAATGAAGCAGTGGAAGAGAAGGAGTAGGAGAAGAAGAAGAAGAAGAGAAAGACAAAGACAACAAATAAAAATGAAGAAGTATGTCTCTTGTCTAGCAGATCATTAACCTAGAAATAGCAAAACATTAGTATGTGAAACATACCCATCACAAACAGAGGAAGACGAAGAAGGGGTGAAAGAGAAGGCAAAGGAGAAGAAGGAGGAGGAGGAGGAGGAGAAGGAGGAGAAAAGAAGAAGAAGAAGAAGAAGAAGAAGAAGAAGAAGAAGAAGAAGAAGGAGGAGGAGAAGGAGGAGGGGGAGGAGGAGGAAGAAGAGGAAGAGGAAGAAGAAGAAAGAAGAAGAAGAAGAAGAAGAAGAAGAAGAAGAAGAAGAAGAAGAAGGAGAAGGAGAAGGAGGAGAAGAAGAAGAAGAAGGAGAAGAAGAAGAAGAAGAAGAAGAAGGAGAAGGAGGAGGAGGAGGAGGAGAAGAAGTTTCAAGATGATAGTACACATCACAGAAATTAGAAGTACTATTTTTACTAAGGTAGCAAAGTTGAAAGTATATTATTATTCACAATGTTGCTGAGCTTATAATTTTATAGATATCAATAATCACATATATTGTTTACAATGCTTTACATACTATTTACTAAATGGGATAGATAATTGTACGGCGCTTATAAATGTAAACTTACAAGGTTATTCACTTCAATATCACACCAGTCGCGTCGTTATAAACATGTAAAACATACTACACAAATTTGTATGAATGGGACTGGTCGTTATAATACTCACATAGATTTGATCACCATTATACCGATGTTTCAGCTCAGCTAGAAGAACTTCTTCATCGAGATATGGCAAGCCGGCCAAGTCATGCGTTTGGCCTAGAGGAGCTCTTGCCATTTTCCTTTACTTTTCCCCAAAAATTTATGTTAGATTAAATAACAATAACGATTGGGAAGAGTTTCCAAAACTTTGAATAACTTTACTTCGTTGGTTCACGCGTTAAAAATATACCGGTAAAAACCTATACCAGGCGCTAGTACGCTCCTGTATGTAAACACTAGTCTAGTCATACATATATAGGTCCGTGGGCGTGGCCATTATTTTGCGTAATGCACCGTACTGCACCCAAGGGTGTAACTGACCTCAAATAAGATAAAGTCATTATTTGAGTTGAACCCTTCCAGAAATGGTTATGTTCTTATTTTAGCAGTCTCATCATCACTATACAACAGCATAATCTTTCAGGTTTATTAAGTTGCATAGCCCGCTACTATCAACAAAGAACATCTCACGTGTAGATCTAACCTTTAGAATTTGGGTTTTCTTTTCTTGTTGATGATGATGATGATGATTTCTATTCGACAAGCTTCCAACATACAACAATATACAATAATACAGATCAGAAATAAGTCAGCTTGATCAGGATAACCCACGAAAGCTCGAGAGCTTATTTCCAGTGGGGTCCCTTACAGACATGTATAAAATTAATAACTTAAAATAGTAAGAATTATTTACAGACAGATAAGAAAAATAAAAGAATTACTTATTAAAGATAATAATAATAACAACATTAAACTGATGATAGAAATGATAATAAGTACAAGAAGAAAAGGAAGAAGGAGAAGAAGAAAAAGAGGCGGAGGAAGAAGAGGAAAATAATTTGTAGAGTTTCTATAACGTACGAAAACTAAAATGAAAAAGTATGAACCAGCAGAAGAATACAAATTTCAATCATATAACATGTCATTTACTTCTCTTATCTGACTGTCAAGTATTAGGTATTCCTTTATGGTATAGTATACATTGTCATTTCTTATTTACCCGGTTTTCCTTATAAATTAAATAGGATATAGGCTATTTGTGCACAATGATATGCCACCATCATCACTTCATCAGACATTAGAGGAATTAAAATCTCATTGCAATATTTTACCTTTCTCGTCAGCAGGCAGGCTACGTCTAGAAGACCGACATCGTCTCGAGGGCCACTATCCACTTTTCAGACGGCATCGCTTTCATACTCTTCTTGTCCGTGCATATTCATTTCTTATCTTATTCTTTCCTTGTCTTTACATATCTGTCTTTTTTTTCTCCCTTCATATCCGTTTTAATATTTATACATTTTACTCCATGTTTAATTTTGTTAACTTAAACTTTTGATTTTTATCTTTTGTTGGTCTCATGTTTGTCTATGATCCAGAGTATGTTGAAATATTTGAATGTGGGGGTAATCAGGGGTACCGGGTGGTGTCAGTTTTGTTTTAAGGGGGCATATACTAGTCTAGAACATCTCTGGCAAGCAAAAAAAAAAAAAAAGACTCCAGAAAAAGACAAATAATAGTATTGACAGTCATACCATATGATAAGGATTTTGTTTGAATTACTTGTGATTCAGACCTGTATAATTATGTTTTTAAAAGTTATTATTTTTCTTTGTTTTTTTGTTGTTGGTTTAGTGAAAATAAAAGAAGAATCCGTATTTTCTTTCTTTTTTCTCCTGATATGTTATAACATTATTAATCACATTATGTGGCTATTCTGATAAGCACCCGCCCCTGTATACTTTGAAATCTATTTTAATGATCTGCATCTTTATCGTTATCTGCCCTGCATGGACCATCAATCATTGGTTGCTTAATTAACAAGCATTTATGCTTTCTTATCAGTCAGGTAAATTAACCACCACTAATTACTACCTTAATCATGTGTAGTTTGATAACTTTGAAACATCTAGTCCATCAGTAATCATCACTATCATCATCTAGCGGTGTTTCACAAAGATCCTAAGTTGAACTTATCTCTAAGTTGGACTTAACAATTATGGAAAGCTGTTAGCATCTATGAAAATATTTTGTAAAAGTTATTTTAAAAGGCATAAAATGTTGATTCAAATCATTCATATTTTCTATTATCACAGAGATTTCATGTTCTTGATTTGGAATTTATAAAAAGTCTAAAATATTTGAATTTTTGCTTTTGAACATATTTCATTATAAGGCTACTTGGCTCTCCATAGTTTTTAAGTCCATCTTAGAGATAAGTTCAACTTAGGATCTTTGTGAAACACCCTCTGGACTTTTCTAATTACTATGTTCGCCTTTTCTATAATGTCTCTGTTCCTATTTGAGGTACATAAAGTGATTTATCAACAAACAGAATAAATTATAATATTGCCCCACTTGAAGTAGGACCTATTTAGGGGCATCGGAACCCCTCTGCCCCCTCCCATTATTATGACAGCCAAGTAACTAAGTATGTTGATCGACTTTATTAGAAATAAAGTGTGGAAGTAACGGTACGCCTACATGGAAATCTATTTATTTATTTATTTTTTCTTTAGAAACGGCAGGCCGGAGAAATGCAAATTGAGAAAGGGTGAAAAGAAGAGGTAGGTTAAAAAATTCAAGATTCAAGATTATTTTATTGGTCCATGCATACAAACATTATAAAAAAATGTTGCTTCCAGTGGCTTTTTTGACAGTTAATATACAAATGATAGAAAATACAATACCTCATTTAACAATAGAAAACGAAATATGGATAATTATTTATAATGTGCATGTGCGCCTCAATTTCATATTGCCTACAATTAATGTTATCCCCGTTATGTTACATGCAAAGTCCCGTTTCAATTAACAACCTTGGATAGCCCTATATATCGGTCATTTTTGTTTTTCATACTACTATCATTTTAATTGGTATTTTCCCCTCACTCCATGATCGGGTATTGTCACGATCTGATATGGGCCTGCGTGACTTCATTTCTCTCTCTCCCTGCCTCATCCTCTCTGTTTTTTCTTCTCTCCCCTCCTTCCCCATCTCTCTCTTGTTATCACTCACTCACCCTTTCTTTTCTTCTTTCTGTTTCACGCCCCCCCCCCCCCATCTCTCTTTCTTTCCTCCTTGTTCCCCTCCCTATCTCCACCCAGGTGTTAAATGGGTACCCGGTGGGATGCGACCGTCATTGTTGGTCAAACAGTTTTTGAGCGTCAAGTAACGCCTGGCTGGAATGCTCCCCAGGGAGTGGAAATTGTGCACACAGTGTGTGCGGGCAAGCAATGAATTCAATGACCGGGGTAATAGTATATCTGTAAAGCGCTTAGAGACATTAAATATTAAGCGCTATATAAGCGGAATATTATTATTATTATTATTATCACTCTTCGATGCCTTTTCGTTTCGTCATTCACCCTCTCTCTCTCTCTCTCTCTCTCTCTCACACACACACACACACACACGCACACACGCACACACTTCTCCCTTCCATACCTTACTCCCCTCTTTTTGTCATGATCATGAGCAAATCTGTACATTTTCTGGAGGGGGAGGGGTGGGGATCCATTTATTTAAACATCGTGTCATATCAGAAAGGGGCAGACTTTAAAGTTGACGGCAACTATGAAAAATACATTTCGGGCAATGCCCCTTCCGGCTCTATTTACACACCTTGACCTTCGAACATGAACAGAGGAAAAGGAGAAGATAAAAACAAAGGGCATTTTCAGGCTAAAACACACAGATCGAAAGTTTCAGCCCCCCCCCCCCCCCCCAACTAAAGTTCTAGGCACGCCCTTGCATTTGCCTACACTGTAAAAGATTAATTGAATCTTTGCAAGGTTATTCTTGTGCTTATTATCACGAAGACGATAAGTCCTTGCTTTTATAATTACCACTATATAGTAAAAGGGACGTTACCTTTCATATTTGACATTACATAGAAAGGTGATTTAACGATGTGTCGTAATCTCAGATAGCCTTATTTCGCATTTTATTCTTCATTCCAGTTAATATTCAGGTTAATTATGGCAATATTCTCTTTTTTTTTAATAGCTATAGGATGAATATACCTTCAGCATGCAGAGCCCTTACGTCACATTACCCAGACCGTGGATTTTCTTTTGTCCATCAAGTGAACTTCACTAAATTCCTAAAGTTCTTTATGTATACCTTTAAAAAGAAATCAACAGTGAATCTTTAAAAATAGAGAAAAGAAATATATTGACGGGATAATCCATTAAAGCTGATAATAAACTTCTAATTAATCCCTTCAAGTTTTCTTGTTTGTTTGTTTGTTTTTTGTTGTTGGTGTGGTTGTTCTGCATGTGTTTTTTTTGTTTTTTTTTTTGTTTAGCATGATTCATTCCTTTAGTTCAAATTCTGCCAAGTAGTTTGAGTGATAACAGTTTTAGTTCAAATTTATCTAAACGAGGATTTAAACATATACATGCATCATGTATGTGTCAAAATAATCCTTAGGAAAAATGAAAAATTTGAATGGTGTATCCGACCAAATATTGAGCATAAATAATCGCTTCAATTGTTCCTTTCAACCAAATAATAGGATTTTTAGACTAGATCCACTTTGACATATAAAAGTTGCATATACTGTCCAAAAATATGGACAATCTGTGTTTATATTATTATTGCTTGAACAGCACTTCATACATACATTAAAACATCAGCCACTACAAAGCACAAAGAAAACAGTAGATCGATTGATACATGGAACAAGGTAATATATTTTGTGTTACAAATTACAAATGAAATGGTCAAAACAGCGAAAAATATAAATTCCTCCTGCACATCACATAAATAAAATATTTCAGAAAAAAATTGAGTACTTATAACATCTGTACATCATAAAGGCATTTCTTGTGTGTATATACATGAAGAGCTAGCAAATGTTTGAACATTCACTGCATTAATTGCAACCATTTACAATAGATACCACAGATGTAATGAACTTTGTTCACTCTTAACATTTCATCGAAGAGAGTACACCATAAATGGTGATCGTCAAGAGCAATATGAAACAAATTTCATCTTCTCTTTGAAGCTTTCCAATCAGCTTTCCTTTCAAATTGAAAGATTATTTTATAATCTGCTTGAATCTTGTTTCGATAAAAGTACTTCTACACAAGACTAGACCTAACAATCTTACTGCTATTCTGCATAAATCTCTACAAAAAAATGAAACTTAATCATAACGAAATTACGGCTCAGTACCGTACTATCTATCTATCTATCTTTTTCAGACAGCTCTATAATGACTTCATTAGGGCAGCCAGGCATTATCTTACAAAACCGCCATACATCTAAGTTCACTAAAATCCTTTTGAAAAACAAGTCTATTTATTGCATGCGTTTTGTAGGCATTTCGAAAAACTTGTACTTCAAATAGTTTCACAAGACAGTACCCTGCTTGGCAGCTTATTACATACATCATTCACATATTCATCCAAAGAGAAAAAGAAGGGCATAACTGTAGAAGTTAAAATCCTTCTTTTTATCTGAAGACGACCATACCGACAAAATTTTTTTAAGTGCCTTTCCATTTTCACACTGTTAGTATACCTGACATATTGAAAGACATTCTATACAATGATGAAACCTGTGAAAATGATGTTTCTTAAAAACTTGTACTGTACTTGAAATTCGTTCGCACAAACAGATTTGATCTTCTTTGTTCGTGTCCTTGAATTTGTCATAATATGAATCCATTTAAAAAACATTTACCTATTTATAGAAACATTTATAGAAACTATGAAATGGCAACTTAATGTTTGTTCTATCTTGTGTTCACACTCCTATACAGGTGACAACAACTCATGTCATCATCATGTCATCATCATGTCATCATCATGTCATCATCATGTCATCATCATGTCATCATCATGTCATCATCATGTCATCATCATGTCATCATCATGTCATCATCATGTCATCATCATGTCATTATTATGTAATAAGGCAACCGGCTGGGATTAGCACCTTGAATGTTATACCATCAAAGTTATTGCACTTTCATAAAGACATGAAAGATAGTTGATATAATAATTCATTGTGTATAAAGTAATGTATATTTTTATTTCATTATATCTCTAGTGTATAACATGAATTCTGATATATAAAATCTGTTATCAAACGTCTTACGCAGTTACCATACAACCATTTTCATAACCCAGTACTATTTCGACTTTTTTACAAATATTTTCTTACAGCATATATGACCATCTTATCAAGCTAAAAGATATATATATCTATAATATACATTTCATTATTCTATTCACAGCCAGATATAACATGTTAATACAGTGTATATCATTTATTACATTACACTACTACAAGTGGCATAGCGAGGGACCATGGGGGGGGGGGGCAGAGGGGTATGTGTCGCAAGTAGCTATGCCACTGACTTCTACACTATAAACAATCACCGATTTCATGTATGACATTAACAGTCTGAAAAGTCTACAGATGTACAGTCATCTTGAATCATATTCCAAACATACAAATACAGCCAAGCTGAGAGAGTTGAGAATATTTTCATCAAAAAAAACGTTAAGATGCAGGGAGGTTTCAACAAAGAGTGTAATTCAACAACAAAATATAGTTATTATATCTTGACAATATAATTAGTGTTAACAAATGTAAAAGCTAAACAAATTCTTTGAAAACAGAAAGTGACAAATGTATGTAATTAATTGCCTTTACTATCATTTCAGCAAATCTCTATTAAAATTAAAGCCCTTTCCACTCAAATAATTTAAGAGAAAGGCAAATCTAATTGCAAGAAGTTGATACTAAAACTTGTAAGGAAATTGTACATGTAACTACAAAAGATAAAATTAATTGCTTATAGTTAATACACAGTATTTCATCAATGTCATGGATTTTGTAAAAAAAAATCGTCTTTCATGGTGTATGAAAGACCCACTTTTCTTTCTCTTTTTAAAGCTTAAAACATTTTATACAATCTTATCTGTAAAATTGTAAGTTCTTGAGCAATCTTACCTGTGAGATATCTATTATTGAACAAATCAGCATGTAGCAACAAATTATTTTCGTCAGTTTAAAAATTCACTTTTTTATGGTAGAAAATATGACACCTTCAAATACAGAAGACAGTACATCTTGACTCTAATTGTACCAAGATGTATTGCTTATTTCAAGATCATACAAAGTGTAAATGATGCTTACTATTCAAATGCTTGTATGCCATGTTTTACAAAAGATTGTTTACAAAAGATTGTGTACAAAAGATTGTGTACAAAAGAAGCATACAAATTTAATGCCCTAGCTTTCCCACGATAAAAAAAATACCTTACTTCGATTGGGTCATCGCTTCTGGTTGGGTGGTCGGGTTAAACGACCTTTTGTGAAAAGAAGATCATGCGACCTTACAAAGTGTTGGGTAAAGTTGGACCAGACCATTTGTAGATGAGAGGGATTTATTTCACAAACATTATACACAAGATATTTCATGAATAAAGGGGCATGTTTTCATGCTGGGTTGGGTAACGCGGCCCAACGCGATGACCCGATGATTTGAAGCCCTACTTCATTTCTTGTCACAGAGACCTTTCTAAACTAATGATTTTACATTTCATTTCATTCTGCTTCCGATTTGATATGACTAATAGAAGTCTAACTCACAAGTAATAACCCTTGTACAAATATTAATAATAATAATAATAGAGTATATTTGTGTAGCGCATAATAAATCGTAAATATTGTTTTCTTCTTTATAAATTCTTTTTGCTAGAGTACGTTTCTTATTCGATTGTGCGACTCAAGCTATAAGCATTGATGTAAACTTAATAACACATACCGGTACAGAGTTCCTAATGATCATTTAATACACACTCTGTCTGCTATAGTCAGGTCAAGCTAATTGTATTGCTTCACTCTTCTCTGTACAACCCTCTGTTCAATGGTGCATTGATAATGGTATTATCATCAGACAGAGATGCATTCATTAACAGAACTCCTCTCGGCTAGACATGCCATTCTCCTCTCTAGGTATCATTATTTTCATGCGATTGCAGCCTAGGTGAACACTTTCGTCACTATTGACGTCACAAAAGTGGCTTGTTACCAAGGCAATGCCTTAATAAATAGCTTAGATTTCATTAGGTTTGGATTGTTGAAATCTACTTATGGCTATGAAGAAGCTTATATGCAGAATTATCAACAAAACAAAAAAAAGGATTATGTTGCATTATGTCCGCAAAGATAAATTTTAGGGAATAAAAGCAATGATCATTGAAAAACAATGAATATTTCAACTCTTCCCAAATTAAATCCAATCATAATTTGTTTTGGTTCGCCCTGAAAACGACTGCATGCCTGAGAAGATGATCTGAAGCTTTTTTGTTAAAGTATGACAGAATTAGCCAATCTTTTTTATAAAAATGCATGTACTGAAAATGAAAAAAGAGAATAACCAATTTCAGAGCATTTGCATAGTGAGGACAACCTTGAAAATGCATCAACAACTTCGATCTACACGTACGAGAGCTTCCACTTAAAAAGAATCAATCACATTACTGGTACAGACTAGCTTCCACGTTTCATTCAACAGTACCTCAACAATTGGTTTAGAAAACATAATTGCGTCCTTGCGAAAAAAATTGCTATGGAAATCAATGGATCTTCAACTGATTGTTCCGGAGGCAGCCATCGGGGTGTGGTTAGAAACCAAACAGATGGTTTCTTCAAATTTCAAACATGTACGCAAAATAGTTCAAGGCAACTGGGGGCATCAACAAAATTTGTTTGATAATCATAACAAGTTATCTATGACTGACATAAATATTAATTTGTTCTCACATCTGTTTCCACTTGATTTTATGGAAAATTTGTTATAACCATCAACAGCATTCCCCACTGTGAATAATTACATCAAATTCAGCATCTATTTCAAAAGACAAATGCAAAATATCATCAATTTTTTTCCAAATCCTACTCATTATCTGTACAGTTAATTAAGAGAAAGGCACTTGTAGAACATAATATGATTTTAGACCACATGGCACCAAACAAAAGAAAATAGGTACATATCAGGTGAAATTTATACACTATAAACATTTGTGAAAGGCCAAATTACCAGCATTTGCTAATGTACATTCTTACATACTTATTGTCTGCGAAGGGCCAAAAGGGCATTAATTCATATACAAACAAAGATTCATCATCCTTTTTGCTCTGAACAGGCGTTACATAGGAGAGGAGAAAAGGTGCAACAATTAAATGCCATCACTCATATAGTAAAAGCTGAAATACAGGATTCCAAAACTTCTCATCATATCATAACAAACTGTGATAGCTCAAAACACTAGTACATCTTTATAATATCGTACATGGTACAAAAGAAAAGAGAAAAATCTTAAACTTTGCCAAAATATACACAAAAGCTCTTGAAATACATGTATCCTTAGAAATTTCGCTTGGAATGTCAGAGTATGAAGACAACACACTAAAGATTCCCAGAGAAGAAAACCGAATGATACAGATAGAGGGCTACAGGCTTGCTACAAAGATCTATTATACTAAAAGCCATTTGTTAAGTCCGCATGATTTGCATTCATGTTCAGTGCTGCTAATATGAATATAGGTACCTGCCATTACCTCCTACAATGCAACTGTTAATAGACCTTGCCCATTTCTTACCCCTTTGAAAGCCGTAAATTACCCATAGGTGATCAACAAGCACTTTATCAATGAAATGAGATTCCAATAAGAATCTACAGTCACGCACGTCTTGTAATGGCATTCAAAAATAACAACCAGTACGCTATTCAAAATGAAGAGATGTTCAATGATGCTTTGAAGCAAAAATTTGGTGGTGTATGAAGCACGACCATGCAGAAAGGGAAAATGCATAACTGGTGAAAAGTTATATATATGTATTTTGAAAACAGAGGTAGAACTTATGTATTTTACAATGACAAGAAGATCATAAATACCTCTGCCACTTTGATAAGGCTTCATTTAAAAAAAAAATGTCATTCGATAATATCAAATTACACTTTCTAAATTCAGTGATATCACTAAGCTCCATCATGTTTCGGGTCAACTCGTTAAAGATTACATCAGGCCAATTTGATACATACATGTAGTACCATTTTGAGTACATTTCAGAATAATAGTACATGTTATAAGGATACAAGGTGATGCAAGAAAAAACAAGTAATGCCCAATGTGTTCATACATAACAAAAACAGCCTAGTGATCGTTCAACCGCTATCTTCATTTCAGGAAAGAAAAAGAAAGAAAGGGTACTCAAGGAAAATATACTTGACAGAAAATCCTATCTCTACTTCAAACATTAACCCATCACAAAAGACATTTACGATACATAAGACAACAACAAGAAAATCTTACCCAAACGAACACCTGTTTTTTAACCAATTGTTAAAATGAAACATGTATCTACAAGAATGCAATTGTTTACCCAACTTTGTACCAAAAACCATTCAAAGCCCAAAGGAAACCTCAGAATATCTAGAAGGGTAGGAATAAAATGAATTCACCAACAGAGCAACATTTAGAGTGAGAACCTAACTTGAGAGTGCAATTCTTATGTGAATATGAATTGGTTGTGAAATATTTTCTGATTTCTTTCCTTATACTCAAAGAATCTGATTCACCTTCTTCAAGAAATGTTTGTAAGTAATTTGTCACCAAAAAAAGCAATGGGTTTCATTATTTCTATGAAAACATTGTTAGAGTAATCAAATGAGAAACATAAACAAAAACAATAACAAACATGATAAAAACAACAGCAGATGCACATTTTATGTTAGGAAAGCAAGAATCACAGCAGTCACCTACATAGCACACATTTATCAGGTTAATTCTTGTATACCAAAGTCACCATAATTAGTAATTACCCACATCACCAGAAACCATCTTATACATCTTATTGTGACGATGATACATGTATATTATCTATGTGATCTATTTCATCTCATTGGTCAGCAATTTAGAGTTGTTCCACAAGTAATCTATTTCAGATTGTATTATTAACCAGCATGAGTCCTTCACTGTTGTTCAATTCAGCATCTTGTTGACTCTATCAAGTCACTATGTTGATCCGTACTCCTTCAGATCAACATATATATCTAGGTATTTCAGTTCCATTTTGTTCATCAGCTTCAGTCCTTAATGGTTGTTCAATTCAGCATATTGCTGACTCATCAATTCACCGAGTTGAATTGCTTGAGAATCTTTGATATGCCCACCAACCTCTCTATCCATTTCAGTTCATTTTGTTCATCAGCAAGGTCATATCATGTTGTTCAGCATCTTGACAACTCTTATCAATTCACTTTGTTGATCTTCATGAGTACTTCCTCGGCGTTCAAGACGCTATCTTTGAAGTTTTAGTCGTTGATCTTCCAAAGTACTTTAACGATGAACAGCACAGCATGAAGGGAACCCAGTTCCTCTTGTTGATCCGCATGAGACTTCTGCTGTTGTCCAATGCTAGTATCAAGTCATCTTGTCAGTATGAGCACTTTGAGATTGAAAACACGCGACTCATTCACGAATTTGATCTCCAGGAGCAGGCTGAAGGTGTACACCGGAGTACAATAGAATCTCAGGTCATCTTGTTGATCTGCATGAGCTCTTTGATCTTGTCATACTTCTGATGGAACTCCCCCAAAGATACCAATTTGCAGCTTGATATCTTGTTGTGCTTGAGATCATTCAAGAGAGCTGACCTCTCTAGTACAGTCATGTAACGCTGCATGATGTTGCAGTCCTGCAGAGCATGGCAAAAGTTTTCAAAGGTCTCTTCTGGGAACATCCCGTTCTGCAACAGCCGAGGTGGAACAAAAGGCACTGCCGACCGCAGAACACCTGGCAGGCTGATATTCTTGTAAACAATGATGAAAGCACTGATGAAAGGCTTTTTAGTAGAAGAATGCTCTACTGGTGTCTTTCGTATTATGCGAAAGGGACCACTGATAGTGTCTATAAAGTCCGGAGACTGAGCTGTTTCTGGTGCATGTTTCAGCAAAGGGGAGTTACTGCTTCTCAAAGGAGCAGCATTATTTGAAGGACCCTGAACCGCAACTGTTGGTAGTACTGGTGCAGTAGTAATGCTTACGCTTCGTCTCTTGTCCTTGTGAAGAAGAAGTATGTTCCCTGGTTGGAGAGCTTGTGGCCCACTGACAGGTGTCAACTGTTGAAAGGTCTGTCCTGGGACAAACACCAGTTTAGGAAGAAGAACAATAGGGGATTTTTGAAGATGCTTCTGAATATCTTGTGCATCTGGAACACCAGAGATAGTTGGTGATACTTGATCTGGAATAGTTTTGTCATATGTCACTTTCACCAGTTTGACCTTGTTATCATTATTTTCCTGTGCTTGGGCTTGCCAAATCGTTTGAGGATTAGCATGGTAGGTATTTCGTGCTGTAGGCCGTTTACTAGATGAAGCAATAGTCTGATCGTTCTTTACAGGGGTTATACTCAAAGAACCATCACTCATCATCCTTTGTAATTTGTCTTTTGGTGATGAGTCGGTACTGTTAAGGTTGAAGGTGGCAGGCTCACTGTATCGTCTTTCAACACAGGCATGTGACTGCCCATCTCTTGCACCCTCTCCCACATCAACCAAGTTTGGAATGTCTTTACCCATAAACTGTGGCCTTTGCGCACGTTGTGCTTGTGGTTGTTTGACAAACGCTGTTACAGCTCTTCTGTTGTTTTGGAGTTGATGAAAATTTATCCTTGGACCTCCTTGAGCACCAGTATACATGCTAGCTTTTAGATTTGGTTGACCAGAGGAGGGTACAGGGGATAGCTTTGGGGGCAAGCTTGCTTCTGAAGAAATTATCATCCCATCAGAGACATCCCCAACACATTTTTGTCCACCTTGTGCTTGTGAAATACCACTCTCTTTCGTTTTTAATGCCTTCTGAGCTGCCATTTGAGCTCCCTTTTGTGCAGCTAGTCTGGCTGCTTCATGTGCTGCTTTCTGGGCTGCATCCCTTGCTGCTTTCTCATACGTCTGCCGAGACGACCTGAAGGATTTGCGAACAGGAGAGTCTGCAGCGATAGATGTCTGTGGTGCACATGACATTGGGACAGGGACTGTTTCTTGTTCCATCTCATGTTCAGTTTCTCGAGAATCTGGTGAAGGCTTTGGGGACAAACAGCTTTCCACAATAACAAGCTTCTGTGAATCATCTATTTCATCATCTATTTCTTCATCTTCAGACAGCATATTCACTGGACTTAAACTCTCAAGAGGTACAGCTTCACTTGTTTGCTCATCTGGCTCTACCTCAATGAGATCAGGTGATCCACTAACTGATGGATTCTCTTCCTGTTTGCTTTCTGTAGTGGTAGATTCATCATTGCACTTCAGGGGTCGCTTTCCAATTTCTATCATCAGCTCTCGTTTAATTATCTTATCAAAGTGCTTGAAGATATCTCCTCCATGTTTGAAAGCATCTGATGATTGCTGCATAAGTTCACACAGAGCAGTCTCTAATGAATGGGACGAACTGCTGCTAGAAAGCATATTCTTAACTGACTCGTGCTCCAAGGAAAGTGGTAATCCAACCGGGCTATCCACTCTTGGTACATTTTCCAATGTTGTAACAGAGGATGGCTGGAAGTACTTCCCTGAATCTTCATCACTACTTTCAACACCCTCTGGCTTGGCTTTTGCTGCATCCTCTCCCTCTAATTTTGTCTTTGATTCAGACCATAATCGTTTCAGAGCTCGCATCATTATGGTACCGAAGTACCCTTGCATTTGATTTTCAGGACTCGGAATGACCATTTCATCGGCATCATTGGCTGCTTCATAAGTTCCCTTCTTTTTTTCTCCATCACATGTTTCTTCCCTCTTCATTTTACTGTCAATTTCTTCTTCATCTTCCTCAATTTCATCTACATTGGGTTTCTTTTCTATTGTGACTTCATTCTCATCTAGTTGTACTTCTTCCATTTCCTCGATCTCGATGGAAGTTTCCTGTTGGTCTTTTTTCAAGGACAAGTCCAAAGGACTTTCATCTACAACAACAATGGTTGTAGCAGGTTGACCTTTCACAGAGTTTCCTACCTTAGAAAGTATGTTCTCTTCAGGGACATACACTTTGCTTAGCCTGGACTCCTTGGAGTAATCGAGAGCTTGAGGATCACAGTGCAACATTTTGGGTTCTACAGGACAAACATCATCCACAGGCAAGCTCCTCTTTCGATTCATCAACCTTACAGGCCCTCTTGATACACTCCTCTTTTCTCCTTCATCACCTGATAGCTGTCTATTTCTATTTGAGGCTTCTGGTAATGCATTGCACAACACATCTACTCTGTTTGTTTGATCCTTTGCAGACAAGTCCATTCCTACATTTACTATGGAGTTGTCCGACTGTTTCCTTTCTACCACTTTCTCCTTCTGACTTTGGTGTGGAATACTCAGAGATGCCATATCATCACATGGAAATGATGCTGCTCTTTTCATATTCATCACACAAGCTTCTCTGTTTTCAGGCCAAGGTGGTGACTCAATACCACTGTCCCATGAATCTTTACGACCATTATCACTGTCCAAGCTTCCTATTGATGGCACTCTGTTGACATTCAATGGTACTTCCTGGAGCTCTTGGTGTGCCTTTATCATGACCGATTTGGGTTTGGAAGGTTTCAGATTACTTCCCAACACATCCCCGGGTGAGATGCCTAGAACAGCTTCCTTTGAAGCATTCAAATGTGCTCCTGGTACTGCACCATTCGATTCCTGATTTGCTAAACTCCGGACTTCAACAATTCTGGGCATTGATTCATTGTCACATGATGAACCAGCAATGATGTGGCTTGATGAATCTCTTATGTTCTCTGTGACACCCTTCTGAACGCTTTGAACAGCTGCTCTATGAAGCGATTTTTCCAGTACTTCCTTGAGTTGCATTTGCTCTTCCCTAATGGAAACTGCCATTTTTGACAATCTCCTGCTTTCTTTGCTGTCATTATCAGTACAGTTCATTTTGTTTTCATTCTCCAATATGCTGTTCCTCAAAACTTGCCCTGGAAGACTGTGCATATGTCCAGGCATCGAGGCCCTAATATCCATGGTCTGTTCCTGCTTCAACTGTCCGACATGCGATGTTACAGGCATTTGTGCAATGTTATCTCGCATCATACGTGCAGCAAACTCTGGGCGATACTGCAGGGGAAAATTTGGCTGTTTTTGTGGTTGGTGTTGCACTTCAGAATGTATTAAGTTGGCAGCTTGCAGTTGTGCAGGAAAATCCCTTTGTCTTCTCTGGCTCTGGAATACTTCTTGGTGCGTGTACTGTACTGGCTGATGTGGCATCATAACTCCCGGACCTCTGGGTTGGTACTGTTGAGGCCCACCAAATCTCTGGTCGAGATGAAAGTTCTGATAATTTCCTGGCCTACCAACAAAATTGTTAGCTGTCGGGACGCCCTCTTTGATGGCCTGTACAAGACGGGTTTGAGGAACGGTTTGAGGAACACGATGTTGCATGGGTCCATCAAGTCTCACCTGTGTCTCAGGGTGGGCATGAGGATAAGAGGCCATTTGGGGATGGGTTGGAGGGACAGCTGAGCCTAGAGGAACCCTGGCTTTTCTTGCTTGATACAACTCTTCCTGTTTTGGTAAGTACATTGGCTGTGCTTGCTGTACATATGTATGCGTTTCTTCAAAGAACTTCTTTCTAAAAACTGCATTATTGTTAGAGAGAAGTTTTCTTTGTGTATCTAATGTCTGTATTCGTTGTTTCTTTTCCTCTACCATTTGTTGTGTCATGTAGGCGTCCAGAAGCTCATCTTTTCTATTTTTCTCTTGGTAATGCGCAGCATGCAGCATACGCAGTTCCTGATGAAGAATCTCATGGTCACTTGTCCCTTGGGCAGCACTGAATTGATGCGTTATAGGAGGATACTGGACAGGTGCAGCAGGTTGCACAGCAGGATTAGTAGCTGCTCTTTGATGCACATCCATGGACAGTTCTTGAAACCCGTTGGCTGGGATTGTCGCTTGCAAGGTCTGGAAGACATGCTGCTGCTGCTTCTGATGCAGTTCCAGCTGCTGTTGCTGCTTCTGCTGCTGCTTCTGATGCAGTTCCAGCTGCTTCTGTTGCAGTTGCAGTTGCACAGCATGTTTTCCACTGCTCCCGTAAGGCACTGTTCTTTGTTGGTGGTACTGTTCTTGGTTGGATGGAATGACTCTTGGCGATACCAAACGTTGCTGTAAAGGCACTGGAGGTACAAATGCAGGTCTGAAGGCACTAGTTGCTGAGTGTGGTAGGTTGGGTAGATGACCTTGGGCGATGGCTAGACCCTGGGTTCGGACATCGTACATCTGATGGCCAACGTGTGACCTTGGGTAAGGCATCCTGTACGTCTGGTCAGTGGCCATGTCTTCCTGCTGCCACTTTCAATGAGAAGGGACTCAGTCACTGTTCACTTGAGCTACTTTCTTTCAAAGTTGTCACATAGCCAGGGACGTTGGTCATTGTGATGTCAGAGGTCATTCAATCTGTGAAGAAGAAAAAAAGACAAACTGTTTTAAAAATACTAATCAAAATATTTCTAAAAATAATTCAACACATTACTCATCAAATCTAATAAAATTCACTTGATTATATTACTATATGCTATAGCAGAGATGCCAACCTCTTGACTAAAAAAACAGACTGAGTATCATAAAATATCAGATTTTCACGAAAACTCGACACTACTACTAGCCCATTGGCCCTAGGCCAGTAAAATTTCAGAAAAAATGTTTTACTTGTAAGTAAATTTAAGTAAAATATTTGCCTTTTCATAAAAAGTTAATGAGAAAATTGTAAAGCAAAGTTTTTGTTGGAGTTGCAGAGTTTTACTTGTACATGTTTCTAGTATGCGATTCCACAGTTATTGTGGGTTTAAAAATATAAAAAAATGAATCATATTTTAAAGGTAAAGACCAGTATTGGAAATGCCCCAATTTCAAAAAATGAAATGGAAGCTCTTATTATCAATCATGTGAAAGAGTACAGTATGTTTTGACTAATACATGATGATAAATTTTGCCGGAAAACCGTCTACTTATTGATATATTTGGTAAATTAGTTTATCTATTTGTGCGTGAGAGATAAAGACATGTGTGCGTAGTCCCATATACATCTTTCTGTGTACAGTGCTTGTAACTTTACGAGGACTGGGCCAAACTTCTTATAATTTTAATGATTCCAGAACCTTGAAGTACACACCAATACTTATATGCTAGATGATCAACCTTTTCTGATCGATTCCACAACGTTTCTTTCACAATGCAATCGCATGACCATAACTGGTCTTTATCTTTAAGGGGTGATATCGTATTATTGTATTTCACACTTATTATTGTACTAAATATGATTTAATCGTACTGGTTGGCATCTCTGTATTAAGTATAGTCATACTAACAACTATAAAGTAACTGACTGCTCCCAATCTTCGAAGACATTTTTTTCCTTAATAATATCACAAGAGGTTTAAAGAGAAGGTTGAGTTCTGGGAAGAGGTGAAAAATAATTTGTGAATATTACTTATTCTTATTATGCAAGTATGGAAGAACATCAGTTAAGACATGTTCCCTGAAAAGCATGGCTCTTCAAATGCCTTCATATTCTAAATATGCATGTAACATCGTAAAAATCAGGGGGGGGGCGGCTTTTTACGCCACGTGTTCGTGTAGTCCCATATACATCTTTCTGTGCAAGTGTTTGTAATTTTACCAAGACTTGGCCAAATTCTTATATGCTAGATGATTAACCTTTTCTGGTCGGTTCCACACCGTTTCTTTAACAATGCAATCGCATGACCAGAACTCAACTTCATCTTTAATGCTCTGCCAAATAATTTCTTCAAAAAATCCCAACATATTTTCCCACTTATATAATTTGACACAAATTTAACTCCCTTCTCACTTTAAGCAGAGGACATCTTTTTTTAAACACATTACGGTATTAATTCAATGTCCTGTTTATAATGTCTACATGCAAACTCGGAAATGCACTTTTGTTAACACCTTAAAGGTACTATGTTCCATTTGCAGGCCAAAAAATGAAAAAGTTAAATTCCAACTGCATTTGAAAGATAATACTAATTTAGAACTTCCCTAAAAAAGTTGGGGCTTGAAAATGTCTTCAAGTGGGAAAATAACGACTATTAGTTGTCAAATCGACTTTAGGGTTATATAGCCCAAAAGTAATAGTCTTGATTTTCAGACAATTGTACCGAATGGTCATACGTTTTATGCTGCACAAAGATTCAATCAGTTTAATCTTGGCCATCACAAGAAGTGGGTTATTGATGTAGACAAATGCTCATGTACCCTTTACAACTCTTTTCATGTATGTTATTACCAAAGAAGAAAAAAGCCAGTCAGTCACTCAATAGTGTCTGACAGTGAAGTCTAGCAAGTAAACAGGTTTCCTTGCATAATTTGAATATGAGGACACTGCTAACGTTTAAATTTCACAGATAGGACATACATGACATATTCATAATTCCTGCAAAGTTCTACAGCATTTGAGGTTGGCTGCAAAAGGGACATACCTTTAAAAGGAAGATATAAAGAACAATTATAAGGACAAAACTATTATTTGTATGAAGTTCAGCATATTCTTTACGAGTTGTCTCAATCGAACAGAGGAAAACGGCATACAATACAGTAAATGAAATGAGAGCGGATACTTGTTGCAATTATTCTAGATTGTATTCAGAGTAAGTATCGAATCTTTATTAGTAGCCAAGACAACGGCAGGTGTAAAGGGTAAACACAGAAAACGAGATGAATAATATGTCACGTAGGAGATTTTAAAAAATGTGGTGGATTGCACTATATGAAGTTTTACAAGGCTAGTTGACTATTTTAATGGTATTGTCTTGTAAAAGCTTTTCCAGGAGAGAAGGATAGGAGGAGAGAACATTTTACCTCTCCCCTTAATAGAAAGCTTTGCAAATTGTGGTACAGAAGACACGTCCGGAACACAAAAGGCTTAATAGTATGTGAATAAAAGTTTTCATTTGACATAGAGTGTATGTGAATTTTGCTCCATATGTTAAAGGGGTTCCATGTCGCTATAATATATTCAAGATATGAGCTGTAAGTAGTGCTTCTTTAAAGAGATTGCAAGTTAGAAAATAGAAAATGACACGTTTGGAAATCAAGTCCAACTTGGTTTCCATGTGCAGAGTTTTCTGTTTTTCTTTATTTTCTTCATACTCTTTAATTGTTAACCACTAGAATGTTAGGTTAAAAAAAATTGTGGGGTTGATTTTATACATTTTAACTGTACTCATACTAATTTCTGATGTGATTGGTACACCTTAAAGCTAATCTTGAGCTCTGGTACAGGAATCGTATTTTGAGAGAAAATTGCTATGATTTATTCTGGATTGTTTATCCTGCAGTAGATTGGTTGTTTGAACCAGTGAAATAAAAATAAATGCACAAAAACTTACTGGGCATCATCTTCAACAAAAACCACAACTCCCATTTGCACATAGTGACATGGTGTCAGGCCTACTGTTTAAACTTTGATTTCCTTATCTTTCTATGCTCATTTCTTAGCCACCATACTTATTCTACCAAAATTCTTCAGCAAATGTCATTTGTTTGTGCAAGTTTTGTTTGATTCTGTGAGAATTTATTTTCTATATTTACCAGAACTCAAGTTTATCTTTAAAGGTTTTGTTTGTCTTTGGAGCACACTTAGTCATGCATTTAAAAGTTTATTTCTGTTTGTTTCCATATTGACATGAATATACTACCAGATGGTAGCTTCTATGTACTCTAAAAAAAATATGTATACCATTTGCTTAAGTATTGCCGAGTGGAAACAGATTGCTAAAATCATGAATGTGATGTCAATGTTCAATGTGTTTACAATACATGTATATAAAATACACATTGAAAACAACTACCATACGTTTTTAATACTCTGCATGTTTTCTATGACTCATAATAAGAGGATGCGAAGAGAACACTATTCCATCTCACGATTGATTTCCTACGTTTAGTTCTCATTGTAGGTCGATGCATTTCACCTTTCTGAAGCACATGCACCATCGGTTTACAATGTGTTTACAAAACAAGTGTATATTCTTTATATTCATCCTCATATTTGATGGACTATGCTTCATATACCCCATTCACAGTGGTTTTGAAATTTGTAGCGGCGTTGTAGCGGAGCGGCGACACCGCCATAACACCGCTACAAATGCATTCACAGTAGAAAAGTTATCCCGCTGCAGCAGCGGGATAAATATCATGTACCCATTCACGCTGCAGCGGGTGATTTTTATTACCTCCGTAACAAACACGTGTATGCATGGCTCATGACCCGCGAGTGACCCCGATATGAGTTGCTTTTTGTATCCTCGATCATATTACTTTTTAAAAAACTAGCATTTTTATTGCTTCCAGTCAGAATATTTTAATTTTTTGAAGTGTGAAATATTTTTATTTGGATAATTATAATATCTACATAATAATAAAATCAATTTGAATCCACTGGTTACTTTATTTCTATTTCACTTTATGTTCCCCATTGCCGGAGAAAAGAGGTCAGTGATAGGTAAGTAAACAAATCACACGCGTTTGTCGCGGTGTTATAGCGGAGAGCCTTCACACTGAGTAAACACCGCGACAGCAGCGGGACTGTCCCGCTGCTGTAGCTAGGCGACCCTAGCGATAGTTTGTCGCGGCGTTATCGCAAGGCGGTGTTATCCCGCGATAGTTTATAACGGGTCCGAGCCTTCACACTGAAGACAACACCGCCACAGCAGCGGGACAGTCCAGCTGCTGTCGCGGTGTTTGAGGCCACTGTGAATGGGGTAATAGTTAATCAGAATGTAGGACGACATGAACCTTATGCCATCATTCATTATCAGTATGAAAGATATTGATATGTTCATTGGTATTTAACTTGCTTAATCAAATGCTACAGTACATATATTGTTTAACAAGGAATTCAATCTTTGTAACTATGTTACATGGAAGACCACCAGTAGATTATAGTCAACGCACACGTACGCACTCGGATAGAATAGAGTGTGCACAGAACCCAACATGTGGCATAAAAATCTGTCCCGATTTTTATGATGTTTCATGCCATATTTATAATATCAAGGCATTTGAATAGCCATGCTTTTGACGGAACATTTTTTTTATCTGATGTTCTTCCACGCTTGCATAATACAACGATAATGCTCACAATATATTTTTCACCTCTTTCCAGAACTCAACCTTCTCTTTAAAACCATTTACCTACAGAATTCCAGGCAAAGTTTTTCTGAGGTTGGTTTACACAATAATCTTTTCTGATGAGTGGTAACCATACACTTCAAGTCCTATCCTAAGGACCTTAAAAATTGAAGCTCATTCATTCATCTGAAGATGATCTTATTTATTGCCAGTAAACAACCTGCATTCCATATTATGGACTCTTTCTGCCTGGTTGCTTCTCTACAAACAGTATATCATCTGCTGAAAACCAGACAGGCATT